CCTAGTCATGGTTAATATCTCAAGCAGAATATACAGGATCTAGGCAGTTCATTTCTCTGCAGGGGCCGTCTTCGGGCAACATCGCGAAGGCAGTCAGTGGCACAAACGGGAGAATTTCATCTTTCTCCCGAACTCGACTGGCTTCAATCCTAAATCCAGCAGTCCCCTTGTTGATCGGCGCGATATGTTTGGCAAGCAAAGCGTCCAACTAGGCCTACTCCGACAGCTCCTCCGCTCCGCCAATTCCTCCGCATGCACTCAAGCCTCGTACAACGCAGGTCCAGTGTTTTGGAACTCGAGTCCTCGCAAATCTACAGACTATATCCTCGGACTCGGGTTCGGGCTCTTCGACATTAAGCATAATCACAACAAGAAACCTCTGTCGCAGGTCGGAGCGATCTTAACCGTGCCGTCAACATGAAACAACGACAGCTCTAGAGTACTCCAGTGCAATTAAATCCGCCGATCACTTGCACATTCGAGCAGTGACTCCATATAGGAGTGTCTCATGGCTTCTTGGCTCCTGCAGAGTTTAAACATGGAAATTTAAATACATGCTGGATGTTTTCCTAGTGCAAGCGCCCGAGATTAAACCTCTCGAATTGTGCATTTGACACATCTGCTATCGCGTTCGTTCAAAATGCGTTCTCTCTTTTCTATACTTTCTCTCTCCACTGCTGTGACCGCCACCTTTGTCCACCCCGGTGCGCTGCATACCACAGAGGATTTCGAGCGCATCCGGACTCATGTGGCTAACGCGGATGAGCCTTGGAATTCGACATGGACCTTGTTGACTTCCAGCTCGTATGCACAATCATCCTACACGCCCACTCCAAAAGAAACTGTCTATCGCGGGTACAATGGGGTGGACTCTGAGAACTATCCGTCTCTCTATCGGGATACCGCAGCTGCGTATCAACTCGCGATTCGCTGGCTAGTCACCAAAGACACGAGCTACGCTGATGCTGCAGTCAATATCCTTAGCTCGTGGGCCGCATCGCTCACGGACATTGAAGGTACCAGCGACAAGTTCTTAGCTTCCGGCTTGTACGGATACCAGATGGCCAATGCAGCCGAGTTCATGCGCGATTATTCCGGCTGGGCGAGCGATAACAAAACCCTGACAGGGACTATGTTGACCAATGTCTTTGCATCAATGAATACTCGGTTCTTGGAAGAACACAATGGGCAAGATTATTACCACTACTATGCCAACTGGGACCTGTGCAACCTAGCGTCCCTTCTCGCCATTGGTATCTTCACTGATAATCAAACCATGTTCGACTATGCTGTCAACTACGTCCGCACAGGGCCATCCAACGGGGCTCTACCTGTATTCGGTATCGCCAATTACACCGAGTCTGGCTCCGGCAAGATCTTGACCCAGGGCCAGGAGGCTGGTCGGGACCAAGGTCATGCTACACTGGATATGATGCTTTGGGGTGTGATTGCCCAGCAGGCGTATAACCAGGGCATCGATCTGTTTGCCGAGTATGAAAACCAGATTCTGAATTCGTGAGCGCAACTGCATCTGAACTTATCATGCCTTTATCTAACCATATTTCCCAGCGCCGAATACGTCGCCAAATACAATGTCGGCTCCGACGTTCCCTACACACTATACCAGAGCTACCAGGGAAATCAGACTCTTATCTCGAACGCTTCATGTGGAAGTATTCGTCCTGGATTTGAACTTCTTTCAGCTCACTATGGGCAGTTGAAAGGTCTCAACTCTTCGTGGACCGATGCCTATCGCGACATGGTGAACTCAAACTCCACGGGTGGTGTTGAGGGTGGTGGTGGAAACTATGGCACTAGCTCAGGGGGATTCGATGGTCTCGGCTTTGGAACTCTTCTCTATCGACTTTAATATGGGGACCGCTCTATTCTATTACTGTTACTTGGTTTTTGCTGTCCAGGATTCCTTTAAATAACCAAAAAAAGTTTTCCTGGTGTAGTGAGAGCCAGAAGGCACTGTTGGGATTTTCTTGGCCTTGCATTTTATTTTAACTTTATGTTTTGGCGTTCATGTATAAGTATCTTGAGTTGTCATGGCGGTAGTTGGGTGACTAGATGCATATGACAAGGTAATAGAGAATGGATGAGTTACTCTCACTTTAGTAGGTAGAAGTAATTTCATTGTCATAGGTTCGCTATAGAGTGATGCGATAGTCACTTCAGGAGCTCCCTTCGACAAAAAGGTACCCCTCAGTATCTACATTATTTCCTCGTCCATGTCGTGATTTCTGCTGCTTGCGTTGGTCTCTTCATCCTAACCCAGGTCATTCTCATGACTCGGAATCGGTCCAGAGCCGAAGAGTTGAGTAGGATCTTCTATAATTTGGTATTCCATGGCCTCACAGGCCAAGATAATTCAGACTACTGCTATATGTACTAGTGGAAGATCTATTAGGTTTAATACCCTTGAAATTTGATTGCTGGGTATTCGTCTTATGGGCTTGAAGATTATTGCGTTGGAATATATATATCCGAAGCCTTGCTCGGTGCTACCAGCTACCAACATATTTCATCATATATTCAATTACATGAGACTATGATAAATGATTGAGACTGAAAGAATCTCTGATTGACTAGTAGGTTATTTATGAGGAGATTGTATTCATGAAGACGCTTTATGTCCCCTGGTGCGTGCAAGACGAAAGCTGGTGCCAGATTAATCAGGCCTAAATTGTACTCGTGGGATCTCCAGTCATCAATGCTAAATTCGGGGCCCTCATCACAACCATCCGGCGGTCGTCTAGTTGGTTTATGGCGTCAGACTGTAATTGACCATTGTAATCTGAATGTCGCCGGTTCGACTCCGGCCCACCGGAATTTTTTTGTTTTTCTTTTTTTTATTTCGAACCATTCCATTCCATTATTCGGTAACCGGTCATTGGTTGTCCGTGCCCCACATTCAGATGACTTCTAAGGTTCGCTCGGGCCTTTGTAAAGGGCACACCGTGATTGTATAGAGTGATGCGCCCGAATTGTCTGAAGTGATTCGATATATCCAGATTCTATTTGCCGATTCTGTTCGCTACGTGTGAAATTATATGCCACTAGAAGCTGCATAAATGAGAGACTCTGACTACCCACGTACTCAGCTTCGGAGGAAACGTATCAAAGCTCTAGCCCACCGATATGCTTGAATATAGTGTTCGTATCCTTTAGACTCCCAAAGGGCAGACAAGCTTGAACCATACTGAGTACCAAAAAAGGATTCACCTATTCACATGTAAGACTGGCTCTCCCACGTATGACACGACACCAGTAAAACTAACAGAGGGGGGAGAACGCCAGTCAGCACGTGGCCAATACAGAGTGTAGTTACCAACAGGAACAGGGATGGCACAGACTCCTGGTACCACCATTTGTCTTTGTCACAAGGTGGTACCACCTTTGCTGTTCCAACGTCCCCGAAAGATCTGGAACTGACCTCAGTTTCCTCCCTCCCAGAATATCCATATTCCAGAGTTACCATCTCTACCTTTAACATGACCTTCAGCAGCAACTGGGAGCAATGCGAGGCACGAGAAGGTATTATCGAGAGACCCAACGGAGGGGGATTATTTGTATTTACCAGAGGCGCACCGAGACAGCCCAAGCACCCGGTCGTCATCTTTGAGGCTGGACTCGGAGAGACTGGCGCCTGCTGGGCGGCGGTGCAACGGTTGCTAGATCCTCGTATCCGCAGCTACGCTTATGATCGTGCTGGGTATGGACATAGCCCAGAGTCTAAAACACCGCGCAGCGCAGTCAACGTGGCCACTGAGCTACTTGATACCCTCCAAGCCGCCAATATCAGCCCGCCATACATCCTGGTCGGCCACTCCTATGGAGGCATCCTCATACGTGAGTTTCTCGCTGCGGCAGGTGCAGGTGCGATAGCCGGAATGGTGTTTGTCGATGCCAACCAGGAAAATACACATCCCCAGCTTCGCATTCCGTTCCATATCATTCGAGCGCTATGTGGTGAACGAGACTATTTAGATGTCATCGGGCTACTACACGAGAATGCCTTCACCCAGGAAGAGCTGAGTCGTATCCGAATAGACGAAGGTCTCCCAACCTCGGCGCGTACATTTGAGAAAGAGGGGGCGCTCTTGCTTGAAAGCTCTGCTGCGTTGAGAGAAAAGAGGCAGTTGGATACATGTCCGCTGGAAATGCGCCCGGTCACCGTGATTCGAGGCGACTCACGTCGCGACCTTGAACGTCTGGTAATGGCAGCCCAGGAAAGTGGCAGCGGTCGTCAAGAGAATTTGCAGGAAATGAACGAGTTTCTCACAAATCGACTTGACATTTTCGATCGTGATCTGCAGATGCAGCAATTGCGCTTGTCGGGGAATAGCCGTTTTGTTCAGGCCACCAACAGTGGACATGCAGTCATGGCTACCGAGCCAGAATTGATTACCAGTGAGATTCTTGCTATTTGGGAAGCGAGCCTGTAGATACTAATCAATCTATGTCTTGTCCACTTCCCAAGGTTGCTTTGGCCAGATGTAGAGGTTGAGGGTGGATATAATGTGGGTTTATACTAATGGGTAAAGAACAGAAGCGGGATATGACTTCAACTAAAAGTTAAGAAGACCCTCAACAATGGGATAGTAAGTGGAAAGTGTGTGCAACCAAAATAAGAAGCCTCTGCCAGATAATGTTATTCCAAGAAGTAAACCGAGAAACGCTCACGTGGAAGATAGCGAGGCCCGATTTAAATCCGGCTCAACTTACTCTTTTTTTTTTTTTCCCATTTTACTTTACACGTAGAAGCAAATGTTGCCTAGGCACCGTAGTGTGTAGCAGGCTAAGATAAATTGTACAGAACATTCTTGAGGCATGAGGCCCACATTCCAGTCGTCGTCATGGGTCACTGGGGGAGCTGAATAATTGGCCCCGTCGGGCATTCTGTTTACTTTCCACGTTGGCATTTGTTTAAAAAAGGTCTCCTCTTTGCAAGGGGATGATCCTTTCTTCTTTCCCCACACACGATCTTCATCAAAATGCATGTGTACACCCTTGCTTTCGGGATACTTCTACTAGGTGCAGCGGAAGGGAGGAACCAAGATGGTTCAGCCTCACGATATGACTTTGTTATTGTTGGCGGAGGTACAAGTGGGTTGGTTGTTGCAAACAGGTTATCGGAGATGAAAGGTTACACCGTGGCTGTCATTGAAGCCGGGGATTCTGTCTTTGGCAATGCTAATGTTACTGACGTGACAGGCTACGGTCGAAGCTTTGGAACGAAGATCGACTGGGCCTACTTGACTGAGAATCAGACATATGCTGGCGGTAAGCAGCAAATTATGCGTGCTGGAAAGGCCATTGGTGGGACGAGCGCTATCAACGGTGAGCTTTGTCCATATGTCTATGGATATCACCGTCTATTTATGCTAATTTTTGCTTCATCCAACAGGAATGTCGTACACTCGGGCTGAAACGGTTCAAATCGATCTTTGGGAGAAGGTTGGAAATAAGGGTTGGAATTGGAGGACCCTCTTCCCATACTACCAAAAATCAGAAGGGTTCCAGGTGCCAACTTCAGATAAAATTGGTGATGGCGCCGACTACTATATCGGCTACCATGGGGAGAGAGGCCCATTGAAGGTCGGTTGGCCTAAGATGATGACCAATGGCAGTGTGCTTCCTATACTTGACGAAACCTTCTCTGAACTAGGTGTTCCCTACAATCGCGACGTTAATGGTGGCAATATGGTGGGACTCACGTCACATCCAAATACTGTCGACAGAGATGCCAACATTCGGGAAGATGCTGCTCGAGCTTACTTTTGGCCTTTTGAAAACCGCCATAATCTCAAGATTATCTCGAACACCCTAGCGAAAAAGATCGTCTGGGACAACAACTCAGATGATCTGGCTGTCGCGATTGGGGTGGAAGTTACTGGCCCCGACGGGAATGAAGTAATATATGCCTCGAAGGAGGTCATCTTGTCGGCTGGCTCTTTGAAATCATCCGTGATACTGGAGCTGTCGGGCATCGGAAATCCAGATATCCTTGACAAGCATAATATTCCTGTCAAGGTTAATCTTCCCACAGTCGGTGAGAACTTGCAAGATCAAACAAACAATGGTCTCTCCTACGCAGGAGAGGAATTCTGGATCGGTGGACCAACTTTCTCCGCGCTTCCGTCAGCTGAGCAAATATACGGGAACCGTGTTTCCGGAATTGCTTCATCTATCAAATCCAGCCTCGAGGATTACGCAAAGGCCGTCTCTAACTCCTCAAACGGCGCTGTTCAAGAAGCCCATCTTTTGGAGGCATTTCAACTCCAGCACGACCTGATCTTCAAATCACGAGTTCCCTATGCAGAGATAGTCTTCCTTCCCATTGGACACTCGTTCTCCAGTGAATACTGGCCTCTGCTCCCTTTCTCAAGAGGGAGTATTCACATTCAATCTGCCGATAGCTTCAAGCCAGCTTCTATCAACCCGAACTATTTTAGGTTTGAGCAGGATCTTGATGCTCAAGCCGAAATGGCCAAGTTCATTCGCAAGGCATTTGGAACCGCTCCTCTCAGTCAATTTGTCGGCGAGGAGTTTGCTCCGGGATTAGATCGTGTTTCTGAGAATGCGTCAGACTCTACATGGCGCAGTTGGGTTAAGTCAAACTGTAAGTATCTATTCCATATCGTGCTCACGGCCTAGACGAATAGCTAACTCTTCTTTAGATCGATCAAACTTCCACCCGGTTGGTACGGCTAGCATGCTTCCGCGAGACAAGGGAGGCGTGGTAAGCCCTGAGCTCAAAGTCTACGGAACCAAGAACGTCCGCGTCATTGATGCTTCTGTTTTACCATTCCAGCTCTGTGGTCACTTGACAAGTACCCTCTACGCTGTTGCTGAAATGGCGTCAGATCTGATCAAAAAGAGATATATATTCTAGAGCGTTACGGTTCAGACATCACACGAGGAAACGATTTGGGTACGTGATCGCGATGATATTGTCCTGGTGTACATATAGACGGATTTGGGTTTGAGATATATTCTATGGCTGCTATGATGTATGACTTGAGAGGGAAGGGATTTTATGGCGACATTTAGGACTTTGTACTACAGTTCCTGTTTGTGGGGATCTAATGAGATGAGAGGCGTATCAGTAGTAGCTTTGGTGAAAACATATTGGGCACGAGAGAAGCCCCACGCTTGAATCTCTTTTTAGAAAAATGTAGGCTAAAAGCACCATCGCATTCTCCATACTTGGCACAACTACAAGGGGTAAAAATGAACACAAGAGTGCGCCAGGATAATAATAACCCCCTAGGTGTCTACGGATATCGTCTTTCATGCCAGTAGGCTTAACGAATTGGCTCAATCCACCTGTTTCTAAATTTACCTGGCTATGTTCATCTCCAACTCGGAATATTCTCCACGACTATATGTACTGCAGTATACAGTACAACGCGGATTCTAGTTCCCGAGGTTTCTCGGCTATTCAACTGCCGATGTTCTGGTAACAGGTTTTATGGCTGAGTCATTGATACCACGGGAGGAAATACTGAGCCATGTTGGATTACATGGCCTACAGGTGTATACTCCTTGGAATTATTTCTAGGTACAATCAGCCGTTCTTTGGTTAAAGCTTGGCATGGAAGTACCGGAGAGAGGGGAGATGGGGATCCCCGGCTAAGCCCGGGGAATCCCGAGGGATGCGGGGTTGGGCTTTCCCCGGCTAACACCGACTTGAGTCGTTAAAGAAAGGTATATCATATTCTATTGGTATAAGTATAGAATTCAGTAATGTGAAGCTTGGATATCACATATAGCTGCTGGTAGAAGAGTCAATCGTGATGCTTTTTTGTGTTAGCCATGCAGTTTATTCGACAAGAGGCTAGACAACGGGCATCGGGCCCTTGTTTCCGGCGTTTGTCACCAAAGTAGCTCGATCTATACCCGGCCCTCTTCGAGTATTGAGAGCAGATCGATATTTAACATCCTCAGTCGCATATTGTAAGGCTGCCCACTTATACTGCGTCTGTTGCATACTACGAGAGCTTCAAGGGCATTCTACTATCTGTTGTGGTCTTCACTGTACGAGATACTTGTCAATTCATTAAGCGAAAAAGACTCAGTTTAGCCATCATGCCTAGCCGTCCTACTGTTCGTTGGGGTATTATCAGTAAGTCTCCCTCTGCTCAAGTTCAGAATTAAAGGCATTCTCGGTTGCGCTCTTCGGGCATTGTTGATGTGTTGAAACCTAACTTTTCTGTCAAGCGACCGGCATGATATCCTCATGGTTCGTGGGTGACCTTTTTCTCGAAAGAGAAGACTCTAAAGTGGAACATGTTATCCAAGCCATCGGCACGTCAAACGCTCAAAGGGGTCAAGACTTCGTGAAAACATACTGCAAAGGACAAAGCCCACGGGTATATGACACTTATGAGGAAGTCTATCGCGATGCCAATGTGGACATTGTTTACATTGGTACTCCCCACGGATTTCATTTCCGCGATTGCATGCAAGCCATCTCCGCGGGTAAGAATGTCTTGTGCGAGAAATCATTCACATTGAATGCAAAGCAATCTAGGGAGATTTTTGCAGCTGCTCGTGAAAAGAACGTTTACGTCGCAGAAGCCATGTGGCTTCGTCACCGACCGATTTTCATCGAACTCCAGCGACTCCTCCACGAAGAAAAGATCATTGGAGATGTCTTCCGGGTCTTCTCCGATTTTGCCTCGGGTGTGGATATTGCCTCGCTTCCAAGTACCTCCCGATACCGTGATCTCACGCTCGGTGCGGGGTCTTTATTGGATATTGGTGTCTATTCGCTTACCTGGGCGCGAATGGCACTGGGAGGTAAAACACCTGATCAGTCCGAAATGCCACGAATCTTGGCTGCACAGACCCATGAAGAAGGGATTGAGATCACTACGAGTACCATCTTGCATTATGCCTCAACCGGTCAGCAAGGCATTGTTACTTCAACCACGAAAGCTCTTGGTGCCCCCGGCGAAGTCTTTGCTGTTATACACGGCACCAATGGGTATATTGAGATCGAGGGAAGAACACCTTCTGCGCCTGAGTCCTTTACTGTATGGTCGAAGCAAGAAGGAAATCCCGATCGTGCGTTTTTCCCGAGGGAGGCTTGTCAAGGGAAGAAGTATGAGTTCGCAACATTGGGACGCGGCTTTGTTCACGAGGCTGAGAATACGGCACTTGACATTCTTGAGGGCCGTAAGGAGAGCACAGTCATGCCATGGGCGGAAACCATATATATGATGGATATCATGGACGAGATCCGACGCCAGGGCAACACGACCTATCCGGGTGAATAGTCGATCTATATAATCCATTCTTCAAGTTGCCAACAAGTAAAGTCATATAAATAGCTCTGACAATTATATTACTATAGCCTATTCATCAAGTCTCCAAGTACATATAAAGCCGTCTACGTTCTCAAATATAGAAGCTATCCCAAAAGTGGAAAGTCTACGCGTTGATCTCTCGGCTCTCGGTCAACTCTGGGGAAAGCGGGGAAAACCTATTCCCTCTTCATACCTTCCCTCCCCAGATCTACAACAGTCGGCGTCTTCTGGGATACTCTGTTTGAAGGGTTAGCGTCCCGAGACCATGGTGGTGAAGGCCTGCGACCGCTGCCGCTTGAGTAAGGAGAAATGCGCCATTGCGACTGATAACCCAGCGTGCACCAGATGCATTCGCCTAAAGTTACCATGCTCCATCTTGCGTCGCAACAAGCGCGTGAGCCGGCGTCTCTCTCCAAAGACCCCTGTGGGGGGAACGCAGGTCTCCAGCGTCGAGTCCGTGGCGAGCGACAGCCATGCCTCATCTACCGTGTCCAGCCGACGGTCGATGTCGACCTCACTAACCAATGTAACTGAAGCATCATGGACACCCGAATCTACAGGTGCCGTGGTGATAGCACCGGAAAAATTGCTCGCCTCAACCCTCAACCTCCAATCCACATCAGACGCGTTGCGCACCGTGCTGGATGTGGAACAGTTCTCAGTCATCCACCTACCTTTCATGCTGGGCTCCAGCTTCATTCCCGAGTCTCAAAAGACCGTCTATGCTTTGTTATGTCTTTCGGCCCCCACCCTGACAGAAGGCTACTTGGCCTTTCTGGGCCTGATGACAAGCTACCAGAGATCGCTTGTCATGCGTCGCGGCGAGCCCGATATGTGCAAAGCAGCAATAGGATTGCAACGATTGCGAAGTGTAAAGATCTCACACGATTACGACGCGGCATGCGCGCTTTTTCTGGGCCAGACTATGTACGTGTTCAACGTGCTCACAGCACCATATTCGAATACGGCCCACTCAATCGTCCGGAGCGCGCTCATGTCCACGAAAAAATGGCTTCCGCGATTAATACAATTCCCAATCATGGACACAATAACTATGACTCCTATTCTGATCGACACGGTGGAGTGCCTGATCCATCGTGAAATCCCTATTATACGCCTTCATCCCCAACGGCGCATAATTGTTGACCGCTATGCTGGTCTGTGCGCAACTCTTCTGCCTCACCTCTACGATATCTGCGAGTGCAGCCACACTTTGAAGAGGAATGTTTTTGAGGCTGGATCCGAATCACATTCTGCAATTTATGATCGACTGGATGATATCGAGGAAGCCCTTCAATATTGGCGGCCCAAAACGCCTGCTCATATTTTCGAAAATTACGGCCAGCATGCGGTTCTCGCAATGGTGACGCAGGCAAATGTCTACCGCCTAGCAGCTTTATTGCTCATTCACCGGCTGCGGCATCCGCTCGGAGTTGAACATGCCGGAGCGCAAAAATTGGCAAATAACATCTTTGCCGAGTTGGCATTCTTTGCCAAATCGTCGGCTAAGGAAACTACCGCTCTACCGGTAGTATTCCCGTTGACAATGGCCATGTTCGAGATAAAAGGTCCTGGAGAAGATCTCTTGGAACGTTTGGCTTCGTTCGCTGTCCAAAGCTCAAGTGCGTCGCGGCTTCAGGAATTCGTGAAGCTTGTCAGGTCTTCACGAGAGTCTGGATTCGAGGGCACTTTGTTTGATTTGGTTGATACACATCTTCATGTTGCGATGCCACCCTAGTCACTTCTATAACAATAAATATAATGCGTTTCAGGTATCTAGTATTTTGCGCAATGAATGAGGAGAAGCAGATGATTAATATTTATGTTAGCATTAAGGAATATGTAAGTAAAACAGATGCACAAAAGGTCTATATGCCCCTGAAATGACAAGAATACATCTCCCCTTCGTCTATCACATTACTGTAGCTCAATCCGCGAACGAGAAGCCTTATTCTCCCCAGGCAATTCAGAAGGCGGCAATCCCTGAGGTAAGCCACTCAAAGGCGCCGACTGATGATCCTCACACTCAACATTCGCGATCCGCGCATGCTTCCTCCTTCTCAAGACAAAAAGCACCGCAATCAGTAACACAGCAATAGCCCCAACCCCTACCCCAACCCCGATCCCAGCCTTCGCCCCTGTAGATAACCCACCATCCGAAGATGATGCCGGCTCAGCGGTCTGTGTAGGAGTACCCGATGCACTTGATGTACCCAACGCAGTCGAAGACACGATAGCCGAAGTAGGCGTCGATACACCGGCTGTCCAAAGAGTAACGAGCGCCGATTTATCCGCCGCGCCGAATTTCTCATCTGTTGGATGTTCGCAGTCTCGATTCCCTTCTGCGTCAGTGCCGCAACATACCCACGTTGAATCACTTTGGTATTTTATATCAGGTAGTATATCGTTTCCTGTATACAAAGAAAGTGGTTAGCCGCATACGAGCTTATATCTTCGGGTGATTCTGCGTGTTCGGCATACCACAACGATCAGGACAGATACTCGCGTATCTGGGATCTGTGTAATTCCCCCCATTGGAACAAGCAGCTGTATAGAAACTCGTTCCGCCCGCGAGCGATTTGGTCGTGTGGCAGATACCATCTGAAAGACAGACGTCTCCGACAGCGCAGCAAGCTGCCACGGGGTTGGTGGTATTCAGTGGTCCGCATGGTGCAAGGGGATCGCCGAAGATTCGGCCATCTTGCCAGGTGCAGTTGGCCATCTTGACGCTGGGAGACCAGTTGACTCTGACTCGGGGTGAAGTATGTGGGCTTGTTTGTGGGACGTCTCAATGCATCTGCTGTTTCCAGGCCGGGGACAACATATCAGAAAAGCCCCCTATTTGGGAATTTGAAGAAACTCTCAGCCTCATTTTGCCCAGACCTGAGCTACTGATGACCGGGCGCAGTGAACTTGGCGTTTTTCTGTCTTTGGAATACTGTATGTCGATCATCACCAGCGATGAGATTGATGGTTTAACATGGCAATAAAGGCAAATATCACGTTTGGAACTCGAGATGTACTCAAGACGGAGATATACTCAAGACGGAGATATACTCAAGACGGATATAGCTTTGAATTCTTCAAGCGTTCATATTGATCAGAGTTGCATATCTTGCAATGTCAAAGTCTTCGTCTTTCGGCCCCCACAGGGTCTTGGCCCCCTGGGGCTGTTGTTTGCTGCTTTAGTTGCTTACACCTTCGTTGATCATACCAGCGATGGGGAGGCATTCCTAGAAGACTTCAAATGAATGCTTCTGAAGATACTTCCAAAGGGAGCACAAGCATCCAAGTTGCTAAAGCCAAGCTTCCACAAGGTTTGCACGCCACTTCGGCTCGACCCGTGGTTCTTTGTGGCCAGCAATACTGTATTTTCCGTCTGTTTAGCTACGTTGTTTGGTATATCTTAGGCTAATTGAATTTGATTCTTCTTTCAGTTGATGAAGCTTAGTGGTGGAGCAATATCTCAGCATTCTGTGTGACTGGGTCTGATCATAGAGGAACTACGACAGATAACGAACTCAAAACTAACCGTGAAACATTTCGGGGACTCGGGATTTCCGCTTCATTTCCACTGGCTCCATTTGAGGGATTTACCGCTGAAACTCACACCTTCAGGGTAGCTGAATAGCGAAAGTGGAGCATTAGGCAGATCTATACCAGGAATGCCCAACAGTGGCTCCGTGCGTGTTTTCCACTTCCTAATTACCCAGAAGGAAGGCATCTCCAAAATGTAATTCATAGAACTGATATGAAATTATGCCGAAATATGCCAAGAGTACTACTGACTTAGTACTAAATGTATCTAAATAGCCACTGTAGCTGAACCTCTAGGGCCCAAATGCCCAATCCAATTCCCCAAGGATGGAAAGCACTCACTTCAACTCAGCGACCTCATCATCACTAAACGGAATGCCAAGGCTCTGAAGCAAATTGGTAGCAGCGGTTTCACCCGTCTTGAAAGCACCATGAACACAGCCATTAGCAACAAGAGTACAATGTTCACCAGCAAACTGCAAACGACTACCCTTATGATTCTCAAAGGCATTGATAAGCAGCTGCGGATCATCCCCAACCTTGTCAGCCGAGTAAGTCCCAAACCCAGCCAACGGGTCCTGGGTCCAATGTGTAGTTTCAACATTGACCAGACGGGGCAGAGCCTTATAAGGCTCCGTGCGGAACAGCTTGAACAGCGGTTCAAAAAACTGATAGATCTCCTTCAAATCCTGCATGGCCTCGATGCGCTGCGTCAGAGGCTCCGCAATCTGCACACACAGCTCCTTGCCGCCCGTCATAATCCACAGGTTGATTGTCACGGTCGCGTAGTTGAGGATATTGTCTTTCTCCCCGATGGAGTTCATGCTCGTGCTGGATTTCACGGAGGAGCCGGACGACGCCTCCGACTCTTCTGGTGGAGAGGGATAGAAGACGAACTGGTCGTTGTCCTTGGACCAGAAGACGTCAACGAATTCGAAAAACACTTTGCCCAGGGCGCCGTAGCTGAACCTGGACATGCCCTCTTGGATGTCACTCGGCAAGGGCGGGTTGAAGGAGATGAGGTTATGATGGTAGACGCCCAGTGGGCTAGTCATCACCACTGCATCACCCTCAACGAAGCCGAAATTCCCAGCAGCATCCTTGTACCGGATGCGAGCTGGTTCATCGCCCGATTCACTCCACGCGACGTTCTCGACATGGTGGTTGAGTCGGATGATGTTCGGATCTTTGCGAAGAGGCTCGGCAGTCCAGTCCACGATCCGATCATAGCCACCTTTCATATACAAATTGCGCTCTGTAATAAAATAAGACAGATGCTTGGCCGAGGCTTGGTCGGTACTGGTTCCAATCCACAATTCCACCTCGCGGACAGCCTGCGGCGCCCAGTCGCGCTCATCCTCGGTAATGAGCTTGTGCTGCAGCACAAACTCTTTAGCAAACTCATGGACCGGACGGTCCTCGGCCTCGGGGTTTGTTTCGTAAAACCACTCGCAGTAGTCGGCGAACTCGTCGGCGACTTTCTTAGCTTTGAACTGGGATCCAGCTCGCCCTTCCCGGGTGAAATACAACGGGAGGCCATCGTCATAGTAATAAGGAATATTCAGCTGAGGGATCAGCTTCACCAGACTGTTCTGGGAGGTTTCGTGCATCCACGCGGCACCTATGTGTAAACCCAGTCAGTACATTCCATCCTTTTCTTTTCTTCTATCTGGGCGAATTTGTTGTGAACAGTCGTGATCGTACCGATGTCTCGAACACGGTCACCTGTTCTGCTGGTCAAGATTCTTCCACCAATGCGATCGCGCGCCTCGAGCACCACGACTTCACAGCCGTGACGGTGCAGAACGGCGGCGGCGCGCAGACCAGAGATTCCTGCACCTACCACAATCACCTTCTTGCGCTCCGACCTCGCTGCACATGTTTTCGACTCCTGCGGAGTTGCGAAAGGTGCAACCAGGTCGGAGCCACAATTACTTGGTTTTATGGGACTACTGCCCGAGAGCGGAGAAGCGATGTGGAAAGATTGGGCCATTCTGAGCTGACAAGTTGACATTCGGCTTTAAAGAAGTTTTGGAAGAGTACACAAGGATGTTGAGGTCCGAGAGTAAGATTTGGGGAGTGAAGTCGGGAGATATAAGGGGGCTGAAATGCGCCAAGGGATTAAGCTGAAATAGGCACGTCCAGCCGGGCCTTGAATATGCGCTTATCGGCATAAGTACCGACATAAGGAGATATTGGCAGATGCAAATATAGTGTAGAAGTGTAGATATGTAGATATGTAGATATAGGGCTGTTGGCTGGTTGGATGCAGAAATGAAGCTAGTCGGTTCCAGTAGGTCTACGCATTGCTTAGCCCTCTTATCTTCGCTCCACATCAAATTTCTTATCAGCCCAATTTCTTCACTTTGTTTTCTTCTTCTTAGCCCAACATAAATATATTAAAATGCGTGCATGACTGCCCCTGGCCCAGTTTCTGGATCAGAGTTCGCTCTGGTCGCCTTGACATGGAAGTTCTCAACGGGACTGAACGCATCTCCACCGCCAACGGTGAGATCACACTGATTCCCACGCCGACCGACTCACCAGACGACCCACTGAATTGGAGCACATGGAGACGGTACTGGCATGCGTTCCTGGTCCTGTTGATCGTCGCGTTTACTGCGGCCACCTCGAACGATGCGGGGACGGCTGGCAACGGCATGAACGTCGAGCTGGGGATCAGCTGGGACCAAATCAACGTTGCTGCCGGGGTCTTGTTTGTGGGTATTGGGTACACCACGTTGCTACTTGGCCCTGCACCTTTCCTGTATGGGAGACGCATCTCGTACATGATTTGTCTGCTGTCGACGATCGTTGGCTCGATCTGGTTGGCCCGGGTGCAAACATCCGGGGATAATATCGGAAGTCAGCTGTTCGTCGGTGCAGCCGAGTCATGCGCCGAAGCGCTGGCCCAGTTGTCGCTCTCCGATCTGTTCTTTCAGCACCGGAGAGGTCTCGTGCTCGGCTTGTACGTCCTGGCGACCAGCATCGGTACTTTTACTGGTCCCTTGGTTGCCGGCTTCATTGTTGACAGTCAAGCGTTTGGCTGGCGATGGGTCGGTTGGCTCGCTGTGATTATCTCCGGCTTTTTGCTGGTCTTGTTCTTCTTCGGATTGGAGGAGACATCCTTCGATCGGAAGAACCCTATTCAAGGACATGATGCGCCGCGTACTCCCCCGGGCGAACCAACTGACCTTCCGCTGGACGGAAAGGAAAAAGGAATCGCCAAAGTGCAGGCCACATCATCTACTGTACTCGACGAGGAATGCGGTCAGCAGAAAGGGAAAACGTACTTCCAGCGCATCGCCTTGATCACACCCTCGCCAACCTTGGTCGGCACGGGTTTTAAGCAGTACTGCCGTCGTCTGCTTCATACTCTGCGCGTCTTCTCCTTCCCGGCAGTCCTCTACTCGGGACTGCAGTGGGGCGCCCAGGATGCCTGGTTGACCTTCTACCTCACCGTCGAAGAGGACAACTGGTACGGAGCACCCTGGTTCTACACAGACGCTGCTGTAGGCATCATGAACGTGCCGACCCTAATCGGCGCGCTCCTGGGCTGTATCTACGGCGGATGGTTCAGTGACTTCTTCGTGCTCTGGATGGCCAAACGCAACAACGGCATCTTCGAGGCCGAAATGCGTCTTTGGCTCCTCCTGCCAGTGGCGTTCATCGGCCCGACGGGACTCATGTTGTTTGGTATCGGTTCAGACAAAGGCTGGAACTGGCCGTGGCCGTACGTCGGACTGGGATTCATCGGCTTTGGCTGGGGCTGTGCGGGTGATCTCAGCATGGCGTATCTTATGGACGCGTATCCGGACATGGTTCTGGAAGGTATGGTGGGGGTGTCTGTTATTAATAACACCATCGGCTGTATCTTCACTTTCTCCGCTGGGTACTGGATGGATGCGCAGACCTTGGCCCAGGTTTTTGTTGCGATTGGTGTGCTGAGCTTCTTCTTTATTATGACCACTATCCCTATGATCTACTGGGGCAAGAGGTGTCGCCAGCTCACTCGGAAGCAATATGAGACTTTTCTCCGGATCCGTGATGGTCCCGCCTAGTTGGATATCTGGGTTTCCGTAATTCGTGCTTGTTGTTTAACTCTGTTTTTTTATATCCCCTTTCTATATCCTCTATTTACGTTATCTGCTTATATGCATGTCTGTCAATATCTATGTATAATTAATCAAATTGCTTCCTTCCTGGAGACGTTCATCGGGACTTGGGCCCATCTCTGCTCGAATTTAGCCTTTTGTTCCCTTTCGTGCTCCCCAACTACCACTTTGCAGTCACAATTCCCTAAAGTTGTTAGTGGATTTCAGGCTCTGTAGGAACATTCCCGTGATAAATAAGTAGGGATAGGCCTTAGAGAGATTTTTCGATCGCGAGGCACGTCTTGCTTTAAGCAAGGATCTGGCTGCAAGATCTCAATGGTGCGCAATGCATGTACATACCAGTACCATACTGTAATCAATAGTCCGTTGTGCCGCTTTTCCATACAGTAACACCGATGAAGAGACCGACGGACTCACGTTCATTCATGGAAGATCGTGATCTTTGTGAGGCTTTATTGCATATAGTGGAGATACAGAACCACAAGTGATCTACAGATTCACTGTGATTGATTGTCCCTTTACTACTATGGTATTGTATGAAATGTCGACGAGCATCTACTCCGTTATGGCTTTTGTAGAAATGCATGCAAATGAAGTCATAAAAAAAATATGGGACAAACCCGTTTGGCTCCTCAACAACCACTATAAAAGCGCAGTCTGACCTCGCTTTTATCATTAATTCAGCAGTAGGCTTTCTTTGACTGCAGAACTCTTTGAAGATTATGTTACACGGTAATTGGGTTAGCATGTTTCACGTTAGGGTTCGGGAATAAATCCGTGCAAGGGATCTTGGTATATCTAATTTCGAATATCGCTGTATTTACGAAGGTAAACAAAGCTAGATTAGGGTTACATGCAGTGGCCATGTCGGACACGGAGATGCTCTCTCCAATCCTAATCACATGATACGCTACAGTATCCCTCCGTGATATCAAAATCGAGTATCATTCTCAACCGAGTTATGCGCGTCCAATATCGGGTACTAATGGTGTTGGAGCACTATCCTCACAAGGATCACGTGCCCTTGGGTACGACCGCGCTGAGCCAGCTCATAGTCTAGATTAGTAGGGCTGCCCTCTGATTCCGTACACCAACCGCACTCAACTCTTCCTAATAGATTCAGTTCTTTGCACATTGTCCTTTATTGATGAGCGAGGGTTCTAATCTGGTCCTCAGTGTTTTGAATAGAGGCTGTGATATAGTTATACCCCTTTGACAGCCACACACTCCGATTTCATCTCAATGGATGTTTCTCAACTTCCGGACATCACCAGCTTGCTTGTCAGGCCAGATAACCCTCCACGAGATTATGTCGAAGGGATGGATTACCAACGATGTGCAGCTCTACACAACTACCTGGTCCAATATGCCTGGCTCGCTGAAGGCCGTCCGCTGGCAACTCTGAATGGCAACAGCACCAACTTTTTCACGGCCTTCGGTGCTGAAGCTGAGGCTCTTCGTCCAAGGCTTGATCCGTCACTGGTGGCTTTCCTTGACACCGCTATGATACCTCCTAGTGATAGTCCTGACGAGTTGCCCCCGCCACTCTCTATTTTCACATGGGGACTCTCTACGCCAAACAGACTTATTGAGGAATTTGTAGCTGATCTTCAAGACCAACCGGCTGACAGCCTGGTGCGCTTGTGCCCTGTCGCCACGGGCTTATCGGCTGAGGGCAGTGGTGGCGGTGTTATCTACCACCAACGCTTCCATCGCGTCGCGATCTTCATGCATCTTGATGCCTATGACTACGGGTTTCCAGTTGAGGATCATCCAGACGTTTGGAATCCACTAGAGACACTGCTCTCCCACTGGATTGACCTTATTCATCTTGGAAAAGTTGTGGCTTCGCCTCATAAAGAGCCAGCCCTATTCGACTTCGAGAAGATCGGGCCCTGGGAGTGGCGGCCCTATAGCGAAGCCCAGGTTACTACGTGTGTCGGCGCGTGGGATCGGCTGTGTCAAGCCATCGAGGCGCGCATCTCGCAGCTGCCAAACCCACCATCACTGATCAGCCCCATTTCCGGGACTGATGCGGACAATCCAGAGCCACTGGTCACATCAACTGTCCTGGACGCCGCTTCGGTGCCCGATCCTTCCTTTGCACGTTTGCTTCTGACGCGCGCGAGACGGCCCTGGTTCCACTACATAGCTCCGGGCCTTCTCCTGCCCCCAGCTGACTCGTCTGGGTTTGTGGCAGCACAGCCATTCACCGTATTGCCCCACTCTCAGCACACCGTACCGCCAGTGTGCCTTTTCCCCGCCGACAGCGGAGACCAGCGTCCTGTCCAGCTCACGAGAACAACAAGTCCATTTTTATTGGCGGACTTCTATTCAAACTCCACCGATACGCACACACCGTCTCGCGTCCCTGCAGGCCTGTATACTGCGGCAGTGGAGAGAAACGGTCTTGACACGGCCGAGGAGGGATTTCGGCTGTTGCTCCCGTTCACCTTCAATGATGGTTGGGGCAGGAGCGTAGGCGCACGAAGAAGCGATGGGGAGCTTGTTGATAGGGAAAGCGTTGCAGACCTCTTTCAGCATGGATTCAAGCCTTTTGGTGGTGACTACTACCGCCCTCAGCGGCTGGAGCGTTTGTTGGATTGTTGGCGCAAGCTGGTTGAAGGAGGCGTCTGGTCTGTTGGGCCGGAAGGGGTAGAAGGTACTATCGATACTTTCAGAGATGCTGAGTCGGACCGTTGGGGGGATTATTATATCCCTCCCACATGGTAGATATCCCAGTGCCATCCCGCCTTCAATCCGGAGACGATTTCTACGCTCTATTCTGCGGGGATACTATGTCAGGCACAGGCCGCACAGTGTCAGCAATTGTTGAACTACTACTTCTTAGTTCTCCGGAAGGCATCAGAGATTTCGCATGTCGCCTCGGCCATTGGCTGCAGGAGACTGGCCCGGTGACTCAATGAACGAGATATCCCGAGTAAGCCGCCACCTCATCTCTGGTATCCTTGTGCAGGCTGACAGGAAGCGAACCAAGTCCGCAGTCACAAGGCACAACTTCCAAATTGCCCGAAATTCCTAGTACCTGTATCATGCAAGGGGAAGCGGGCAGGATAAATGATGGCGTGGTCATCGAGGAGGGGCACTTCAAGCAGCCCTTCGTGAAGAGGAGAGGAAGAGAGAAAAGTGCCCCGACATTCCTGTTCCTCATGCCGTCGAATCCATCCTCGTGCAAAGAGCAATTCGAGTATCATAGCTCCTTGCCTACCCAATGGACAAAATGTTATTCTCCTTCTTGAGACTCTGTTTTGTCCTGCTTACGGCATGGACAACTTGGGTTGCGGCCGATTTTGCGCTGTACAAAAACTATGATTCAGACGCCTTGATTGCTGGGCTCTCTCTGAGTAGTACGTGTCTTGCAGCACTGTGAGTACTTGCCTCTGGTTCCGTCTCCCTGAAATGTCGTACCCCTTTAACACCTCAACAGGAACACCACCGTTCCTTGCAATGAAACCGCTATTGGCCTAGTAGGGCACGGGGCAGACATCCACTGTAAGCCTGCTGTGTCCAAACATGTTGTTGTCTGCCAACGAAGAAGCGAAGCTAATAAATAAAGTCTGGACGACTGCTGAGGTAGAGAACCTCTGCACCACAGACTGTGTCTCGTCCCTGAGTTCCTGGAAGGATAATGTTGCAACAGTCTGTGCAGAAGAGACCACAATCCAGGGCAATGTCGTGGTCAAGGCGAGAGCGCTGCCACTGATATTTACCTACCATTCTGATCTTGTATGCATGAAGGACAGTCCATCAAATTGGTGTTTCTTGGACTCTCAGACATGGCAAGGAAGTGACTATATTCGTTGGGATCCAACAATGTGCTTCACCGATGGTGATGACAACAGCACAGTTGCGCCCAATGTGCCGATCCGGATTTTGATATCGGTGCTATCCGTGATGACATGTCCGCTCTAACTAATATATATGACAAGGAATTGGTATGTGAACTCCCTATGAAGTACATCAGTGCCATTGAGGTTGTCTACTAACTGGGCGTAGTTCTGCAATGAGTGTTTCTTGAATCTGTATCGGCAACGTCTCCTGGATCCTTGGCTACCAATTAGCAATTTCACGGATTATTTAATCGATCAATGCGCCCTGAGCCCTAAAATGGCGTCGGATTTGATCTTAGGGTGAGTGTGGGTGATATGGGCGAGGACTTTGGAGACTGGGGTAATAGAGGTGAGAACAGGGTGAGAGCGGGTGAGCATAGGGCGAGGATTCTCACCTCGATCAGCCACTCTCATACTTTCACTTAAGTCCGTTTCAGTTCCTGTCGTTTCTCCTCCCCCCTGTCTTGCTTCTCCTTCACCAACCGCCGCCGCTGCAGAGAGATAGGCTCCGAGGGCATGATCTCCTGGTTAATCTCCTAGTTAACCTACTAGTAACCTCCTCGGGGAATCCCTCGGATGATCATCACCGTAAATTTGGGTGAGTGACTGTAAATTTAAAATATGTATGTTTCTGTTATGAACTTTGCTAATAACCATTGCTTACGTTTGGTTGTTCATGGGTCCCTTTACCCGGTAGCTAGTGCCATAATAGATGGTGAAATAGTAGCCGATGGAATGACAACTTGTGGAAAATCGTAAAATTAAGTAGCCGAAAAGAGTTGATAAAGAAATAGTTAGAATAGCCACTCCGACTAGAAAATGGGCTTACTACTGATACATATTCATTGAGAGAACCATGGAGTGCAAAGACGGGTGGAAGATCAAATGCCCACACGACAAGATCGCCGACATAGATTGACCTAAATTGAAGGAATGGATTCACTCAAAATAGCCGTTAAAGTTGGCCACTAGCGTCGACCTAACGATATCTGAAATGACCTAAATTGGCTCTTCAGGTTCATCAAAATTGGCTACTAGAATACAGCTACTGGAAATCTCTAACCAAGAAGCTGGCGTGCGTTTCTTGGGTGTTTGTGGCATGCGAAGGGCTTCGGGCCTCCTGCGGGTAGGTCCGCCATCGACCGGTTACTGTAATCTAATTGTCGAAGTTTACCACACAGCCACATCAAGACACTATGGCATTAATTCAGGCTACAGTTCAATATGTTACATAATGTAGGTATTGTGAAATCTCACGCGGCCAGATGATTCGGAGGTGCTCAGATGAGGGGCAGGGTGTGGATTTGTCAGCCGAAATGCCTGATTTTATGTTTTTAAACGTCGTAGCACATAGAAGCCCCTCATTTTTCGAGCCTACTGACGATGGATAACGCAATCCTGATGGACTCATCTCGTCAGCGGAAGAAAGCGACAGCTGCGTGCGGAAAATGCCGTGTCCTCAAGGTGAAATGTATTCGACCCGGAGGGGGACAGCCTTGTACTAAGTGCGCGTCACATCCCTGACCGTATTCTTCATCTCACGCTAATTTGAGTAGATGTGCCAGATCCAACTCTCAATGCGTATTTCCAGAGCCGAAACAGCGAGCTCGAGTTTCGCAACGAGGGAAACCGTAAGTGACCCTAAGAGCTCTCCAGGCAACAGGTCAGTTTTGCTGATAGGGAGGGGATGAAGCCGACTGGTCGAGCTTGAGTCCAAGCTCACCAATATCATCGGTCTTCTTTCGCGCTCGAGCGCTCCCTTTTGTGGAGTCCAACCCCCGGTTGATACCGATTTTGGGCCGCCTGCCATTCCCGAATATTCTAGCGACAGGCCACATCGAACAGCTGAATGGATGAGCCAAGAGTACCTGCCTAATTCTGAAGTGGGCGAATGCCCGGAGTCAAGCGAAAACCAGAATACCACTGAAAATACCCTAGAAAATCCGTGGGACTTATCCACTGCCACGGACGCCGCGTGGATCACCGACTTGGGACTCAGTCCTGTCGTCCTCGAGTATCTTTTAGACAGGTTCCGCGGCATGGCGTCCTACTTTCCATTTGTGCGGCTTCCATACTCCTGTACTGCTGCATCAATGGCTGAAGACCGGCCTTTCCTATTACTTGCAGCTGTTGCTGCTGCTTCCTCGGAATACTGTCATCTTCAAGACGCTCTGATCAGACAATTTAAAGAATCCCTCAGCCAGCGGGTTGTCGTGGCTGGTGAGAAGGATCTAGACCTGCTCCAGGGATTACTTGTCCACCTTGCCTGGTAAGATCTCAGTTCCCACGTTACCTTCTATTTTGTCGGCCTCAGAGGCACTAGCAAGCTGACCAATGTCAGGTTCCATTTCCACTTTGTTCCAGGAAGTCAGCAAGCATACCAGTACTTACAAATCGCAATCAGCATGGTCATTGACCTTCGCCTCGATCAAGAGGCTGCCGACCTGGTTGAGCTGCGAACCGAGCTGAGTGATACTTATATCCGGGAAGCATGCCGTGCTTATCTAGGCTGCTATTACATGTCTAACATGTAAGATGCCATGCCCTATCTGGATAAGCGCTAATAGGCTTGAGCTGACTTTAATAGAATAGCAATGACTTCGGGGAAGCCCAACAATCTCCAATTTCATAAGGACATGCTTCGATGCGCGATGATGCTGCAGCAACAACCAAAATCTGAGACAGACCTCTTGATATACCCAATGACAAAGGTGCTACAGTTCACTGAGGAAGTCTGCGAGACTCTCCGGTCAGAAGGCATTCATAGCCCTCGGTTGCACATCCATGCTGGACGATTCACGACGTGGTTAGAAGAATGGTGGTCGTCCCTATCGACTGATCTTCGCAACAAGGGTAGGAATTTCTCAAGGTCTGGGGGCTTCTCATTTAGCTGACATAAAATTCCTAGTGTTGCTGATCAACGGCTATTATGCCGCCAAGATTCGGATTCAAGAAATGGGCTTGGTATATTGCTACGGGCAGAGAAGACCTCCATCTCCAAAGGCGCAGGAAGAATTTACCATCTTATCTGCACATCCAATGGTCATCAGCAACTTGATCAAATGCGTCAGCTCTACGAAAGAATATCTCGATTCATTTTTCGCCCTTCCCGCTACCGAGCAAAATAGCTTACCATATTCTGCGTGGTGTCAGGTTGTTCTAACTGTCTTTGTGCTGTACAGGTTGTCCGTGGGACTGCCAGAAGTACCCCAGTGGGACGTGGAGATTGCACAGCAAACTGTGGATCTACAAGAATATATTGATAAACTGTTGTCTCATTTACAGGTTATTAAGCCATTGCCGGATAGGCAAATACCCACCAAGAGCCTCTTTTCGAGGCTGCCCGAGATCATGGGAAGTGTTAGAGCTTCCTATGTATTGGCAAAAGAGGATCTCGCACAGGCTCGTGATAGCCTCCATGCTCATCACGAGCTTAACGGTTTTAATAACACAGCCTCATCTGTTCAAGGGCTGCGCCGCTGCCCTGCAGTGCGGTATTCGAGCCGTCACGTCGCCCAGGCTCAGGATCTACCCACACTACAAAGCGCTATTACTACGGAAGTCCAGAGAATAGAAGATGAGAAGCTTTGGGGTGATATTTTTTTGATGGATACACTTTCTAGCATGACAGGTTCATCATCTTTAGAGTTTTGACAAGAGACCCATGCTCCAGACCTCAAATCCGCGAAACTGCAATTTCAGCATAGAAATGCCTCAGATCTCGTCGGGAAAGACATGGGTGGAGACCTTGTTTCCAGTCGAATCGTATCGCTGGGGCAGAACATTGTAAAGTCCGTCAACATCCCGCGGTTCATAATCAAGCGACAATGCCGCCTGAATAAGAATGTCCAGCCCATAAGTCTCTTTGATCCAGTGGGCGACCATATCCATTCCGGCCACAGCTCCACTCCCAGTCCAAATGTTGCGGTCAACAATCCACTTCTTCTCCTTTGTCCACTTGACATTCGGGTATCTCTTCTTAATCCAATTGTACTCGACGTTATTGACTGTGGCCCTCCTGCCGTCTAGAGCGCCGGTGGCTGCAACAACCGCGGCTCCGGTGCAGATCGTGAACAGTAACTTTCCGGAGGCAGCATGGCGGCGAATGAGGTCCTGCAATTTCGGAGGAAGCTTGCTTTCCGCAGGGTTATCGCCACCGACGATGAGGATATCCAATTCGGGGACGTCGTCCACCGCGATCGTAGGCACCACTGTTAGAGAGCTTGTATGCAGGTGCACCGGCTCCATGGTCTCTCCGATATGGTGGAACACGAATTCGGGCGCCTTTGCCAGAAGTTTCGGATCCACGGGGGCGTAGTAATTGATACCCTTCAGGAGCCTCTCACTCGCGGAATTGAGCAGATCGCATGGTCCAATGATGTCGATCGTCTGGTAATCGAAGAGCGGGCAGCCAACGTGGATCGGAGCCATCTTGGTAGCAATCCTTTTGGTAGGAGTATTGAGTATCAAATGATGTTTGTTTGATATTTAATACTGTTGGCCGTGTCTACTAGCGCTTAAATACTGCCATTTTCCGGATGCCATAATCGCGGAGCGGGCTGTTTGAAGGATCCCGTCCTCCGTGGTCGACATTCTTGGCACGGGCAACGAGGTAAACTCAAGAACCGTGTCCGTGGTTTCTCGATTTTTAAATGCATAGTGGAAGATTCTAGGGGGTTGCGTTACAGGCCATGATGAGATCATATCCCGTCAACGTACAATTTCTCCCTCGACGTTTCGTACAGCTATTCTCGAAATCGGCTTGACTGATACACACTTGACAACTATTAGAGTCGACCTGTGGTCCGCTCCGAGCGCTTTCTCCTACACATACGTTTGCCGATAGACTCTACTTCCCGTATTCCTACTGCTACACTAGGACCTCGCAGGGCCCTAACAGATCCACTGTGATTGCGAGAAATCCATGCATGAGTTCTGGGGGTTCCGCGACAAGTAACTAGTGCGACTTAACCATCCCAATAATATCAGAGCTCAATTATATTGAAAACGTAAGGCAGACGAGGCAGCCTACAAGGTTGAAGATACCATAAAGAAACCTAGTTGTATAATGCTTCTAGTTGTGGTTGTATACAGATGCTAAGATATCGAGTGTTTTAGGTGGAGGAGTATAATCCAATAACATTCTGCTATTCTTTAGCTAAGGGGGTCAATGCAATGATCGCGCAACTTGAGTGATTCTTACCCTGATTCTCACCCTATCTATAGCGCACCACCCTTCTCACCCTTCTTACCCTAAACTCACCCGAGCGACACCCACCCAACTACTAGCCGCACACAACCCACACGCCGCTAAGTGGTTGGATATATAACCACGAGTCAATCTTCTGCGATCTATGAAGCCTACGTAAGTCTAAGTCCTATATAAGTCCTTTCTATGCCGAATGATGTACATACGACTATAGGGTGTGGAGAACAGGGCTTCCCGTCCGCTCAGCCGTACTTAAGCCACATATAGTACGCGGCCAATTTTCAAGGCGCCTTGAAAATTAAAATGGCGAAAAAATTTGTCTTAGGGTGAGTGTGGGTGATATGGGTGAGAACTCCGGAGACCGAGGTGACAGAGGTGAGAACGGGGTGAGAACGGGGTGAGAAGGGGTGACAAGATGATAGATACGTATGCACATCTACCTATGCCAGGGTGATAAGTAGCTGACTAGGGCTTTAATTCCGGCTTGTCGTAATTTTTTTCTTTCTCGTCGCGTTCAAGACTATGTTCCCTAAAGATCTTGTCGCAATTATCTTACGAATACTGCCTGAAACCGGGTCTATAGATGATCCGAATGGCTTCGGGTATATGATATAACTGTTAGTTAAGTTAACGTTAAGTTATCCGGACCCAATTATGTAATTAGAAATTGCCGAATAAATAGCAGGAAATAGGGGTAATGAAATACAGAGTCATTGACATCTCCAATTGGCCGGATACAGTACAGATCGTGACAGTTTCCCATTCCACCAGCATATAGTGATTCGAGATAGTGTGAGGATGAGTTGGGCCTAAAAGTCGTTGTAGCTTGACCACGCAGGTTCGAAGCAGATCGATTGCTTTAGCATGCTGGCCTATAGATTTACACGCGAAAGCTAGGTTGGCCATGCTCATCAGCGTGTCGGGATGGTCCGCGCCGAGTTTCGTCTTGCGAGTCTCTAAGACCTACACGTTAAGCCGCTCCGCCTCTTCCCATCGGCCCTACTTCTTATACGTCGACGCTAGGTTGGCCATGCTCGTTAGCGTGTCGGGATGGTGGGCGCCGAGTTTCGTCTTACGAGTCTCTATGACCTACACAAAGAGCTGCTCCGCCTCTTCCTATCGGCCTGATAACCGGCTGCTAGCGTCTGCCTCTCACGATCATACTATGCGGCTCTGGGACTCAGTGACCGGGGTTCTATACCAGACTCTCGAGGGCCATTTAGATTTGGTTACTTCGATGACCTTCTCGCCTGACAGCCGGCTGCTGACGTCTGCCTCTGACGATAAGACCGTGCGGTTTTGGGACTCGGCGACCGGGTGCTGCGCATGTCATTGTCGGTTGGAGGATTTACCACTACCCTCAAATTTTCACCAGACGGTTTATATATACACACAAACTTGGGGGCTTACCAGGTTGAGGTTCAGGTTCAGTCTAGGTGTGACAATCATACTTACGGTCCGACTCACAAGGACCTAAACATCTTGATCGATCAAGGGCAGTGGATAGCATTTAATAGCGAAAAAGTCCTATGGCTTCCTGCAAAGTCGCGACCGACGTGTTCTGCCATTAATGGTGGTATACTTGCCCTAGGACACGCATCAGGGCGCGTTTCAATTATAGGCTTTCGTGTATAGCAGGTGTTAATGGTTCTGATTTCCATTCCTTTCTCTATTTTTTAATCTCTTTATAAAAGAAATAGGTCTGGGAGGAATAGGAAATTTATAGGGCTCTATTATGCAGGTGGAATGTGCCATAATATTTCCGATATATCTGATCACCAAGCATTATCATGCAGGTACTAGACGTGATATCACATGCTAGGTATAATAACATACGGTATGAAGCATGGCAAGGAACATTACTATTCGGCCGTCTTTTGAACATAGACTATCGGATCTTGGCATTAGGTTTAGAGAAACAATGAAAGAGTGTAGGTGGTGAAACCGATTTCCGGAACTACTGTATATCACCCATGGCTCCCAGCCTAGCCAAATCTACACTTAGTGTTGATCCATGATGCGTTGAACAATGGCGAAATAACTACCTCCTAAATGGCTGAAGTAGCTTCAGTGAAGCTGTTGGCTACAGCAAGCGCGTCATCATCAGGATCCGGTCTAAACTGCGGCTAATCCGTAGCATCAGACAGCTCCGCCCGTCAAAACTGGACGCCCACAAAACATCACGCTGATTATGCTAGAAGCCCCGTGAGAAATCCACTCGAAAAGCCGAATTGTATCTTTGAGGTGAAACTTTTCTTTCTTCTGATCTGGTGACTAGTAATCAGCTTTGGTGGTGGCATTTATACCCATGCTCTCGTGGGCTCTACAAGATGCGATCTGAAAATGCGCTATCTCGGTCTCCATTCTCAGAGTTGACTACTGGCACCGCGATCTAGCAGTATCTGCACCACCTTTTCATGGCCTTTAGAAAATGCAGCCTGGAGTGCGTTACCGTCAAATCCGCCCTCGGCGTTGATGTCAGCACCATGATCCAGCAGTATTTGTACCACTTTTTCGTGGCCTCTAGAAGATGCGGCCGGGAGTGCACCGCCGTATGGTCCGTCATCCGCGTTGACGTCAGCATTATAATCCAACAATATTTGCACTACTTTTTCGTGGCCACCAGAAGACGCGACCTCTAGTGCGCTACCGAATCTTCCGCCCTGGGAGTTGGCTTTGGTACCACAATGGAGCAGAATCTGCACCAAATTTTCTTGGCCACCATAGGATGCGGCCTGGAGCGCGCTACCGAATATTCCGCCCTCAATATTGACGTCTACGCCGTGGTCGAGCAGCATCCGCACCACCTATCTATAGCCGCCGTAACAGGCGGCCGAGAGTGCACTGCCATATATTCCGCTTTTGAGGTTGACATTTGCACAGCAATTGAGTAGTATCTGTATAATCTTCTCTTGGCCTTCAAAAGACGCGGCCTCGAGTGCACTACCGTATACTCCGCCCTCACCGTCCACGTTGGCACCGCGATCCAGCAGTATCTGCACACACTCTTGATGGCCACCATAAGATACAGCCTGAATTGGGCTCCCCAATTGTCCGCCTCTTTTATTCACCTTTTCAGATGATGTACCATCCATAGTAACTGTTGTAATATGGTATAGGATGGAATCAAGACCTAATAAGGATGCGTAGTACACGGGCGAAGCCATATCAACTTTACGACGCTGCATGTCAACGCCCGCATTCTGCGGCCAATCCGTATCGAATAGACGTACCCATGTCACGAAGGAGTTTGTCTCATCCTAGAATAACCGCAACACTAATCCTTCAACCCTAGACTTTTGCTCACCACAATTTGTGAAGTGATAATACCAATGCATAGCGGAAAAGCGGGTCAGCGGTATATGCTTCAATTTGGTTTCATCAAAATCTTCGGCAAATAGCATCGGCTCTAAGAGATAGACCAAACAGATCTGGGCAATCTCTGCGTTTCCGGGTCTAGGTCGAATTGCGAACCTCGCAGCTTTTTGATGGATGATACGGCTTGACTGTAGGTACTCCTACACAGAGAAATACGCTATGCGACCAATAGAAGTCGGCCATCCACTATCATCTTCAACCACCAAGACCTCCACAAGTCCAAGACAAATGTCCACCAGATCTTCCAGCTCATACGATCGGCCCTCACGATTAAGGTGTGGCGGATCACTGAGATCAATAGCATGTGCCTCAATCAGCTCATCCACAGTGACCGGCCTAGTAGAAAAACAAAGTAAGGTCAAAATCCGCCGTACGTCTTCAACGTACATTTCGTCGATATTGCATAGGATTCGCTCATATGTTTCGTCCAGCCCACGGGGTAGAGAGCGCAAGCATTCGTCGAGCTAGTTGCGATTGCGCGCCCGTTTCAGGGCAGTGAATTGACATTTAACATATCGGAATCTGAAATATTCAGGATTAGAAAATACTATTTCTTTCGAGAGCCACGGACAAGACTCACACACCACCTGCCATTGTAGTTAACTTGGCTTCAATATCCCCGTGACGCGCTTTCTATCTCCGTAGCTCTGGCTCGTTGGCGAGTTGATAGGAAACAAAATTGACTATATCTTTGTCGATATCTGAGTTTTTCATCACAATGTTCTGATCTAGAGAAGGATTCAAAGATTTGCGAATATCAAGCTCATCGCGGCTTGTCACCATAAGGTGAAGACTAGGTAAAGACCAATTCCGTATTGTTTGTAAAACCTTCAGAACGCCTTCTCTTTCACGGTCTCGGGGACTTTCATCGATGGCGTCAATCAATATGTAGTAGTCACTAAACCTGTGTAGAATACGTTTGATATAGGCTAGGAGGGCTTCCATGGGAGGAGTGCCAGACTTATATGACATATGTAGCTGTTCTAACTCCCTTTCCGCACCCTATAGTTGAGCTGACAACTGCAACAACAATGCACGTAGCATGCCAGATCCGCTCTGTTTTGAGTGGTCGTTGAAGGAAAAATAAAAAAAAGCGATTCCCACGCTATGCCTATCCCGCGTCTCGCGGGATATGTGTTGAATCACTGTTGAGCATAGGACTAACTTGCCACATCCGGCGAATCCATTAATCTAAAGGAAGGAATTGCGCTCGATTAGCCAATTGGCAAAACTATGGCTCCTAAGAAACCACAGCCCTGTGCTTGTATAACGCTTCGCGCATACGGCGTTGTGATTCTCTGTCGCATCTAGGGCCATTAGCCAACCACGAATCGACGAGGAGAACTGAGTTGCATTAATCCTTCTAAGGAGTGAACTAAGCTCTTGTATTCCATCCTCAAGAGAGGTGTTGCTTCTGAGCTGTAACACTTCCAGCGCAAAGGATAAATGTTCACGTATCTCGCCAATGTCTTCTTCGAGCTTCTGTAAAGTGCTTTTTCTGAATAGATAGGCTACGCGACGCCGCGCGAGTTGAACCTAGCCCTAGAAACCCGTAGTTTGGCCCTTCTGGAATTTAAGGCATTCATCCTGAAGTTCCTTGATAATTGTTTTACAGTTTTGAACTGCAGTGTTGACAGTTTGGTGTAGCTCTTGTTCGCCGGGCCGAGATCGGCGCTCTTGTATTGCGACATGCAGAGTTCGGAAGATACTCAGAAGATCTTCAAGGTTCCGCACGATATTGAATACATCAGTAGCTTGGTCCTTGACCGAAGAGTAAAATTCAGTTAAAGATTGGGTAACTTGGATTCCAAGTGAGAGCAATCCTGCAACTCTAGCGGCAATTGACAGTGGATCGGCCATAGTAACAAGTCCGTAGCACGTTAAGCTGAGGGATGATAATCTAGATAAATTTAATGATCAGATCCTGCGTTGCGATGTCAGAAGGCAACTTTTTGTGTCATTCGATGTGCGCAAACTGCCTAAGCATCCAGAGTACCCATGAGGGGTCTAGAGGCGGACGGATCAGGCGGTAAGAGTAGCCCCACATTAGGGGGTGTCCAAATTTATGGGACTGTCACTGTACCACAGGTCGCTCATACATTTTATGAGACACAGGTATGTAATTTATCTTCGTTACTCTCTGTATTGATGATAAATCAGAGAATTGATATTCCGACGAATATCCCAATTAAGACTTCTTGGCATCACCTTGGACAAAAAACAGTGACAGAGTGTAGGTGGTGGTGACACCAATTTTCCGGAAGTACTGTATGCTTTCAGGTGCTTTCAGTCAACTTCCGAACCTGACTGAACTTTGCTTGTGTTTTTGTCAGACTATCGCAGAAGAAGTATGGGTAGGGCTGCACCTGGATACGACAATGATAGAGAAAGAAACAACGCTCCAGCATCATCTTCAGGTCATGTCGAGTTCCTTGAAAGCCAGAAGAAACCATAGGACCTTTATACGCACGGTCCATTTATCAGGCCTTGAGCTTTCTCGGTATCATTCAAGGCAAAATCAAGAAGCACAGCTCCGGAGAGAGTAACTTTATGATCTACTCGGTTGCGCTTAGAAATTACATGTACGATTGAGTGGATCTGGAAAATTATTGAAATCGCTAATACACACTACTCTACGCCTTCAGCAGCTGGGCCTGTGCCGCCTCATTGTGCCGTATACTGTACTGTAGAAGATGGGAGATGGGGGGTTGAGGGTGGCTAAATGGCCGCCCCGTAGCCTGGAAGCTAATGTTTGATCATTCTACTGATACAGCATTGGTTCTAGTATCATCTCTCTGGCTCGTTTGCTTGTTTTCGCTCGTTTACTGTATCCTAGGTATGCTGGACTTGTTAACAATAAACAGCTATGTTGAGGTCTATCCCAAGATCTACCTTCTTTGAGCTAGTTACTGGTGCGACTTGACCATCCCAATACTATCAGAGCTCAATTATTTACAACGTAAGGCAGACGAGGCAGACTATAGAGTTGAAGATGCCTTAAAGAAAACTGGTTGTATGATGCTTCTAATTGTGGTTATATGCAGATGCCAAGATGTCGAGTGTTTCAGATGGAGGGGTTGAATCCAATAACATTCTGTTTTCGTTCAGCTGAGGGAGTCAGTGTAGTGGTCGTGTAACTTGGGTGATTCTTACCCTGATTCTCACCCCGTCTATAGCGCACTCACCCTTCTCACCCTTCTCACCCTAAACTCACCCGAGTGACACCCACCCGACTACTAGCCGCACATAACCCACACGCCGCTAAGTGGTTGGATATATAACCACGGGTGAATCTTCTGCGATCTATGTAGCCTACGTAAGTCTAAGTCCTATATAAGTCCTTTCTATGCCGAATAAGGTACATACGACCATAGGGTGTGGAGAACAGGGCTTCCCGTCCGCTCAGCCGTACTTAAGCCACACGCCGGTAAGTTAGTAGTTAGGTGGGTGACCACTAGCGAATCCTTACTGTTGTATGTTTTTGTTTTTTTGCTCTTCGTGGCCAATTATCCAGGCACCTTGAAAATTAAAATGGCGAAAATAACTGTCTTAGGGTGAGTGTGGGTGATATAGGAGGGAATTCTGGAGACCGAGGTAACAGAGGTGAGAACGGGGTAAGAAGGGGTGATAAAATAATAGATGTCCCTCGTAAATCTACCTAAGCTAGGGTGATAAGTACCTAACTGATACTTTGATTCCGGCTTGAGATATTCCGTGAGGAGATTGTTAAGATCCATGCATGAATAGACGATTTATACCAGGTATATCAGGCATGATTCAGTCAGCGTAGATCCTTCCATGAAGAGTATAGATCAGGGGAAGTTTCTCTCATTTATATAGGGTCTCTCTCTCAATAAGAGAGAAGTCAGACTTAAACAATCTCAGCGTCTTGACGTATATGCTTCCCTAGTATCATCGTACCCCTTATTCCAACAATTTTTGTTGCTTTTTTGTTTAACAAAACGAATAAGCACCCAATCTCAGTATAGCATAACTCGGATCTCATCTTCTTCCCCTGGCTTTGCTGTCACCTGGATTTTTGGTCTTTTTAACCACAATTTCTGACACTCCGTCACGTCAATACACGATGTCTTCGAAACTGCGAATACCCCCGTCGCTAACCACATCTCTGCCGCAGATTTGCTCTCGGCCTCCGCGACCAGTGTGCTCTGAACTGCAGGTATCAAGGTCCTTTGCATGATTAAATTAGTATTTGCATCTGCTCGCAGCAGTAATGCCTGACTTTCGGTCGCAAGCCTGCCACCTCCTGAACGCGGCGCAAACATCAAATCCCTTTGTAGATTGACAACACCACTGGCGCTACCATCCGAGAGGATCAAGCACCTCTGTTCGTCTTTCCCCCATGCTTCCACCGCAGCAGCATCCTGATCCAACAGCCTCTCCAAATCTCTCTCTGGACACAACAGGCCCGTTCTTGTCGCACCAGAAGCCGCAAAGCCTGCGTCAACTAACCTGATGGGCCCAGGTACGATGGCTGCCGGTGACCACCTCACCTTGTGTATACGGAAGTGCCATCCTGACCACAGTTCCAATGCGGGAATTAGGGTAGTTTGGACCTCGAATTCTATTGCCTTCTTGGGTCTCCAGGTACTAACAAGAGCCGGCACGGTTCTCGCTACCGTTCCCATCCCAGCAGCCGCTTCGGAAGTGAGGATCGAGATCTGCCGATCCCGTACATTGAACGGATTTGCACGCACAATCCATGCGTCGCCGTCATCGAGACTGACAGTCAGCGTGCTGTCCGGAGCCATCTGCTCCAGCAGTGTGCCACTGGGGACGCTGAATCCAAAGAAGGACGAGTACGCCATCTTGCCGTACTTTGCCTCTCTGGCGCGGTGGGCCTTCGTGGTTCCTTGGCCCGATGAGAGCAGAAAGTGGTGGCTGCGTCCGCTGCATAGAATATGTCGGGGCGGCCAGAGGAGTTTGACTTCATCGAGTAGTGGCTGGGCAGGCGAAAGGCGGGCAGCAAGTGGGTGCGGTAATTCTTTTGCTGTCCAGAAAGAGTGGCTGTCAGGTAGACAAAGGACGGTGAATGATTTCAAACACCAGTATACGGACTGCGGTGAATTGTAGTTCTCGCTAAGGAACATGTTTGGATAGGTATAGCCGATATTGATGGTACCATCAGTGTTGAAGATGCCAGGCTGCTTACTCCACCAGCGTAGATGGCGGAGAAGGAGACCCTTGACCACGCCGATGTTGTTGAGTGGTGCGTCAAGCTGTACCCCGGCGATGGCGACTGCGGACCAGAATGCCGCGAACGCGAACCGGTACGTCAAGCTCCGCCCAAACGGGATGGCACTTCCTAGAAGTCACAAAGTCAGTACTTGTTCCGGAAATATACGTCTCGGATTCAGGTGTAGAGAATCCAGTGGCAAATGTGTAGATAGTGGAGAGATGAGAATGTTTTATAGGCCGACATACCATCCACATCAAAATATCTCCAGAACCCCGACGCAAACTGTCGTGCCTCCAGCTTATACCTCTCAACTCTACTCTGGTCTTCGGAAGCCAAGCCCCTATCCTCCATACACCTCACATATAGCATCCGTGCAAACTGGATTGCGAAGCTTCCCGAGTAATAATCAGCCTGTTTCCTCTCATTACCCCAGAGCCCATCGCTACTCCATCCCTCACCAAGATCGAACGAGTCCAGCATGTTCAAGTCCTGGGCCACAACATCCTCGTCCTGGGACCCCAGCGCCAGATTGACCAACACGCGAAACCAGCGCCAGTTGTTCTCGGGCATTTTCCGTCCATTTATTCGGCGCAGCCACCTTTCTAGATTTTCCCGGGCCATCGCGTCCATCCCAGACAAAAATGCGGCAGGGGCCATCAGCAGCGCATACGCGATGCTCTCCATTTCCACCATGCGCTGGTCGAAGTCGCCCAGATCACCCCAGTACTCCGAAGATGCTGGGTTTGTGCCAGCTCGTAAGCCGCAGACCCATGAGTCCACGTCAAGGCCAAGGCTATCTGCATTACTTGCGGGAGCAAGGAGGCTCGCGATGGCCCAGAGCGGCCGTGCAAAGCCCTCGAGTTGGGCGGAGACCTCATCAAACCCCGCCGCGGTGCCTGTGGAGAGTTTGATAAAGGCCTTTTGGGGGGACTTGTGCTGCTCCAGCGGCTTTAGCAGGGCAGCGCTGGCCCGTACGAGGTCAGAGCGGGTCCGAAATGGGTTGTCCGTGAAGCCTGGGAGTGCGGCCATGGTTGGAGTTTTGCCTAGTCTTCCAAGTGCGTGGCTAGATTGAGAGTTGGATATTCGTAGGGAAATTAGAGGTTTCAAGGCGGGTTGGGGCCTCCGGGCACTTATAGTCCATTTGGTGCCAAGTCTGCTCTCGGTCTTCGGGACAATGTATGCATTTCGGGTGATTGTATTCTTCATGTTCTACTCTGAATTTACGCGGCTCAAAAACAACTAGAGCGACGAATTAACAGTACTCCAGGATTTGATGACGATTGAGGATAAAAGTTTACTAGAACACTCATCAACCGTTCAAGCCACATTTCTCAGCCTTGCCACATTAACTTCATTTACTTCCTCTGTTCACACTCTCTCAGCCTTAATCTCATCCTTGTTTGTGGTTTCCACATGGTTGCTTGACGCGCTCAGTTCGGCCTCCTTCTCTGTCTCAACCATGCCTCCTTCGACAACCTCCTGGCTTTGGCGTCGCTTCAGCTCTCGCGTCCACAGGTACTGTCCCAACATAAACAGGCACCAGTAAGCGACAGTCAAAACTGTGTTGACGGTAAAGCCCTTGCGCCACTTGGGCGCCTCGAGAACGGGGAAGGCCGTGATTGGGTAGAAGGAGAAGAAGATCCAGCCGCAGGTCATCTGTTAATTATGAAAACAAACTGAGGTTAGTGCTAACTCTGCTAACTCGGAGAAATCTTAGGGCCAAAGGAAAGGGAATAGCAAAGAAAAGAAACAAAAGAAAAATGGAACTTAAAAAAAAGGAAACTCTAAACTCACCATCGCTCCCGTCGTGAAGGCTCTAGCTTCGGCATCGTCCTTCATGATCATGTTAACCCAAGGAAACAGGATTGGAGTAATGCAAGAGGTCATTCCCAAAAGATAGTAGGCCGTGAAATGAAGCCCAACTGGAATGTCCCACACAAGAAGAACGACATTGCAAAAGAGGAGAACTGCAGTTGCGAACGTAAAGGTGGTCCAGATCGGGTAGACCATGCAAAGAGAGGTCGAAAGGATGCCGGTCACAATAGCGACTCCCTGAACACCAGTTGGGATTGTGTTGATCTCCGGGATGGTGTAAGTGCCGTGTTGTTCCGCCTCGTATTTCAGCCACAGCGCCATTTGCCCGCCAACATAGCTGGTACACTGAAAGCTAGAGATTACCTCAAGAGTCAGTTCGGCCCCGTAAAACACTACGCCTAGGGGCTTACCAGATGTAAGTCGTGATAGCGATGTAGAAATGCCAGTGCGTAAACACGCGCTTGAGCATGCGCTTTCCTATCTTCGTGCTCTCCTTGACGCCATCATCGCCCATTCGGGCGCGTGCAAGTTGCTGGTCCCGCTCGGTGAGCCACCAGACTCGGGGGCTTTGCGGGATGCCGGGGAAAAGGAAGAACCCAGCAATTGCAATTGGAACGCTAATGATACCGTCCTGTGTGGCAAAACGTAAGTTCCTCATCACTATTTTGTCGTCAGAAAAGGGAGCCATCGAATACCCACTATGATGAACAACCAGCGCCAGCCGTCCATACCCAAGACACCATTCAGATTGGTGTACGCGGCAGCTTGCAGATATCCTCCGAACATTGAGCCGACGTTGCTACTCACGTACCACACTCCCGCTCTTTTGAAAACCTCGTCGGCGCGGTACCATGAGGTCAGAATGTAGATGCTGCCCGAGGACGCTGGGGTCTCGAGCACACCTAGCAGGAACCGGATACCAAAGATATCGTGCTCGTTGCGCATGCGTGCCTGGCAAAAGGTCACAATTCCCCAGAGAAGCTCCATGGTCGGCGGATAGTAGCGGGACAGGCTCGGTCGAGAGATCAGCATCATGGATGGGATCTCAAAGAGGAGATATCCTATATTATAGAACGTCCCGAACAGGGAATACTGGTTCCCGTTCAGGTGGAGCTCCTCCTTCATGCCCGAAACATAGGCGTTATTGGTGTTGCCTTGATCAAGCCATTTGATGAAAACTAGATATCGTCAGCGTTAGTATGCGGTTACCTTCTCTAATACTTCTTCTGTCTGAAGATGGATGATCGTTCATTCGCTGAATCCATGCATTCTCTTTCATGGCCCGCTTTGTTCGGGGTGGTTAAAAGGGGAATGAATACTCACACATCAGACAGCACAGCGGCATAATGAAGCAGTCCAGCTTGCGCAGAAGCCTGCGCTCCTCATCCGAATAGTGGCTCGGGTACCAATCGAAGATATATTTCCATGCCTTCCACAGCGAGGGAGCTGGTGGCCGATTGGTGGAGGAGCTCACGACAGGGGCTTTTTCTGTGTCGGAGGGCTCGTCGGCGGTAGGCGGCGGGGCCACCCTGTTTCCATTGGCCATATTATGCTAGAGTCGTATTCTTTCTGAGGCTATGTTCAGATCCAAAGGAAAGAATAACTGTGGTCAGTGAACACTGGGTCACTGCTAGACCTCGACCTGGATGCTACTGCATCTATATAGACGCCAGCATTCGGGGGTAAAGGAAAGCGATACGAGATTGAAGTTTGAAGACAATTTATGGCCGACAAAAACGTCCAAACGCTGGGTCAGTTGTGCAGAAAGACACGGGTGGGGTTCTTGTTGCTTAGTGCCTCGGGGGAAAAGCCGCGGACTTCGGGCGATCCAGCTATATGCCGGAGGATTTTACCTTTACAGAAGGACGACAGTCATGCTGCATTAGTGGCCTTTGTCGGATGATTGGCGTCGGGAATGACATGGTACAAGCACAGCGTGGAGCATTGGGCTTTACCTAAGCCTATTGAACGTCGGTTAATGTACAGCGGCGGGACCGACAATCGCATTTATAGATTCCATAAAAGACCTGGAGCTAGCACTGACATCGACGCGCTACCGGCAATTCTATTTAGATTCCGTTGGCAGGAGTTACCCCCAAAGTTCCTTTCTCAGAAAACAGACTGCGCAAGGATGCCTGTTACAGCAACAATCACAAACCCCCATGGGTTGATGTCCCGTCAAGAGGCTTCCAAGGCGTTATTCTCAATATCCACCCCTTCACCTCACGCAGCCTTATCCAATAAGGTCACTTCTGTCGGTGAAACTACCGAAGCCCCTCATCTAGATGTGGATTCCTCAAATTTAAGGGAGCATCTTGCAGAGCTCTTTGTCGAGAACATTATGGCGAAGGTCTGGCGGGTCGCATTTGAGTCTCTCCCTAGCGCTGGAGCGACACCCGAGGAACGTGCAATGAAGTTCCCTCGCGTATTTCCCGAATACGTGCCCCAGAATCCTCAGCATGGCGAGAAGCCAAGCCTCTACCATCTCCGTGAGGCAGACTTCTGGACCTGTGGCTTCTTCCCCGGGACCTTGTACGAGCTGCTTGAAAGAACAACCCGCTATCCCAAGTCCGCTGAATGCTTCCTTGGTTCATCGCCACAGGAGAGACGAGACCAGCTCCGCGCCATGTGTGAAAAATGGTCGGAGCCGTTGCACGACATGGCCAGCAGGACGGACACACACGACATAGGCTTCATTGTCATGCCTGCTCTGCGCAAGGATTGGGAGCTCTTTGGCAACTCCCGCAGCCTGGCATCTATTGTCCGGGCGGCCAACAGCCTGGCAACGAGGTACGTTGCCTCTGCAAAGGCTATCCGCAGCTGGGATCTTTTGATCAGGAAGGACACGCGGATCACGGATATGAGTACCAATCTTATCGTAATCATCGATTCCTTGTGCAATCTCGATCTACTCTTCTATGCCGCCGCTCATAGTTCCTCCAGACAACTCGCAGAGATGGCCGTCGCCCATGCCCGCACTGTGATACGCACCCACCTGCGTCCGGAGCCCCCTCTTCCACAACCCACGCTCGGAAGGTATAATGGCCAGCTATACTCAACCAACCACGTCACCTGTATCGACCCAAAGACTGGCGCCATCAAGCGTCGTATGACAGCGCAGGGGTACGGGGACGGGTCCACCTGGGCTCGCGGTCAGGCGTGGGCAATACTAGGGTATGCACAGACATACTCATGGACCGGGGACAGGGAGTTCCTGAATGTGGCGTGCGGGACGGCGGAGTATTTTCTCCATAGGTTGGAGACGCACCCTGTTGCGCGGGGTCCTGGAGGTGGGAAGTCGCAGTACACTTCCCCACCATGGGACTTTGATGCCCCGATTGAGAGTGAGGGCGAGGAGGTGGTGCGGGATTCCAGCGCGGCAGCCATCGCGGCGAATGGGTTGCTCGTGCTGTCGCAGGCGCTGATTGCGGAGAGAGAGAAGATGCTTGCAGCGAGGTTTTTTGACGCAGCAGTGGATTTGATGAGAGGCACGCTGGACTATTCACTGGCGGGGGAGACTGCACGGTTTCGGTTTGTCTCTGGCGGGGAGTTGAAAGAGGGTCTGGCTGTGGAAGACCTTGTGCCGGGAAAGCGGTTCGATGCGATCCTTAAGCATGGGACGGCTAACAACAATGAGAATGCGAGGAGGCGGTATGCGAATCATGGCCTGGTGTATGGTGATTACTACTTGGTGAGATTTGGAAACGAGCTGATGCGGATGGGCTTAGTGTAGAACCGTGCAGTATTGCTAAGAAACAGGCACATAATTAGATATTAGACTTCCACATAACCCATAGTACCGGCCCAGGGTACACGGAGGTATATACTATTTAATGTAGTATAATTGTCCCTTCAATGACCCTTCACCAAGATTGGTCTAGATTGGCACTGAACATTCCGTTGTCGAAACTGATGATCCGGTCCAAATCCATAAATTGATGGCCCAGCAACACCTGTGAAATAGCACTCAGGTCGCAGGGCGCTTGATCTCTCCCTGGAGAGTACGTTTCTTTCCCATACATTGTCTGGTGGTGGTCGTTAGGATTCCTGGGGAGTTGTAATGGGGATGAAGGCCAGGGTAACGCCATGGCCGGTGCCGCATTGATGAGGTCCCCGTTTGGCTGGCTCTCCGCGGGCCTTCCACCACCTTGAAAGTTGTGCGCTGGCTGTGCCTGCAGGTGTTGATATGGTTGTTGAGTCAAGCCATTTGGAGTTGACTCAGGAACTGGATCTCCTACAATAGGGTCGGTCTTACTGCTGCAATGGTCGATATCTTGCGTGTAATCCAAGACACTTATTCTGTAGCCCAAGCCCTGCATGCACATATCGTTCATCTCTCTCAGTTTTAACGCGTATTTTGCCGCCAGATCCTTGGTCAAAGTCGTGGTCTCTGGCACCACCACGTTCCCGTTCCATCGACGCGACATTTCATCTAGGCTTCGGACTAGCGTCCAAAACCTGTCATCGACATCGGATTTGGAGTACAGAGCAGTGCTCTCTCCACCGTAGTAGGTCCCGTAGGCTAGCAGGAGTCGGGCTGCCACATACACGCAGAATGAAAACTGGGGATAGACGGGGAACGTTGCCGGAGACACTTTAAGGTATTGTTCAGTGATAGTGGCAATTTCAACAGCCGCCTGCTGACAGGTCTCTGCAGAGCAACCGCTGGGCAAGCGGCTGCGGAAAGTCCAGTCGTGGGGTGGAAACGCGATAGGTTGATGTAAGAGAATCATGGAAGCATTGTGAGTGATGTGTGCCAGTGTGAGATTTGGGTCCATCACTACTGTTTCGCGTTTGGCGTCGACCTCTAGTTCCGTCGCTTCTCCACTGCCACTAGGTGGGCCGTTCTGATTGGCCGTGTCGTGGGGCCTGACAGTGGTGTTGGTAGGGTTGGCGGCTTTCCACTTCTTTGGAAGGAGCATCTTCCAGTGAACAAGGCGCAGGTCGAGTTCCTTGAACCGTGTGAGCCAGCTGGTGACGTTCTCTGGACGGTGCATGTCGACCTTTTGTTGTAGGAAGTAAGTCATGACGCGGCTCAGCGACTCGGTTGCTTCGATGCGGTAGGCGAAAGCCCCAACAGCCTCCATCAGGGGATCTTCCGGCGATGAAACAGAGCCGCTGGCGTTGTTCGGACTCTGTTCAGGGGCGTCATTGACCACCGTACCTTGCGGAGACACGTAATGGGCCGGAGGAAAGGCGATGGGATTCCCCATCCGCGCTGCTGACTTGTCCCAGATGCCAAAAAAGGCTGTAACATTGGGTTTATCCCTTCTCCAATAGACTCCATCGCAAGGAAGACGACGGTGCACATCGTCCGAGGTGAGGCTAGTGTTCCAGCCCATTGCCACGGAGCAAAACCGGTCGAAGTTGAATACGTTCCAGAACACACGGCGTCGCTCCTCTGCCTCGACCCAGCTCTCCGGACGGGAGAGAGATATAAACGGTCTTGAAATCGACGTACGGCCTCGGAACTCCTCGTCTTCGACTGTCAGTTTCAAATATTCGACAGTCCGAGTCAGTGATCCAACTAGGGACCATGCCTTTACCCCCACCCCACTTCCAATCTGAAGGCTAAATTAGTTGACATGATTCAGAATGTGTAATATCTCGTGGTAAGTGTATATGACTAGAATAGGAAAATCTCACATCATTAAGCACACAAATTACGAGTGCCTGAAGATTTTCAACGCTCAAGCAATCCATCGAAGTCGAAACAACCAGACTCCTGGCCTGCTCTGTAGTCAGATTAGCCAGGGAGATGTCAGATACGGCCTCGTGCCGCTGTATATATCTCCCGGATACTAATATCATGGCTCGCACCAAGACGTCAAGCTTTGATCTGTTTTTTGTGTCGAGAAGTCGCCGACGCAAGTTGGTCTCGTGTACGAGAGGGATCCAAGGGTGTATATGCTTGAAGTATGTCTGCAAAACATCTTCAATCGTGTTCGGATTGAGAAAATCAAGTACCAAACGGCGATCCACATCCGACAGCGAAGAATGAGAAGGGCCGATGCGGTCGTCCAACCGTTGTCGTTTAGCTGGGCGATCAGCGGCCCCGGTTGCCGGCTTGTCGCTGAATCTCTGAAGCTCCCGTGCCAGTGCAGACAGAACAGAACTTGCCGTAGACTCGTCTGCACTCGGCTGTGTTTGTCGGTTGGACTCGTCTGGCGTATCGTCTCCCAGTCGGTCGATAACAAAATCTTCCAGGCGATCTAGCGGCGGACATGTGAGCCTCGTCTGCAACCCTAACAAGCATACCGAGTGGACGTAACTCTACATTCACCAGCAGCAGCACTCTTCATTATCATACCTAGCCGTCGGTGTAAATTTTCAATAGCCCCAGGTTTAATCCCCGGCTTGGACCGTTTGGGATCATACACGCAGTCGCTCCCTATACCGGAGTCGAATTAGCGACATTGTAAGAAGTGGTTCTGTCTTAGGAGACAGAGGAAACATGGATGTACTAGCTGACCAGTTTTGCGGCAGTGTTGACATGCGGGTGTTTCCCTGGAGCAGCGCAGTTTGCGGTTGCGACAGTTACTACAGGCAACCGAGAGCTCTGGCAGCTTGCTGTTTTCCTCGGCATGGTGGGTATGATTGGTCACAGATGCCGACATTCTGCTAAACGGGTATTCTCGTACCAGCTTTGGGTACGCGAGATCAATTCTGGGGTGCATAAAAGTGTGAGGAGTTCCTTTATTCTTTCTCCATCGTAGCTCCACCGAAGCCCGCATGAGATAGCCCGAGAGCCGACGAAACCCCCGCTTGCCCAGGAATGGGCTCATCCAATCAACCGCCCGCCACACCCTCTATTCGCTCTCAATCACGCCGAAAATAAGAAATGTAGACAGATTGACTGAAAGAGAAACCAAAATTGTAACCGCATTCTTTATTTGATAAAGATAAGAGGTTAAATCAGAGAAGATATAGGCTGCTATAGAAAGCTAGCTAATTTTAATACTACGTATTAACACATAAAACGAAAAGCAAGGAATGATTTAGTCTACCTAGATCAATATTATAAACTGGCGAAGATACGGTGAAGAGAATTGAAGTTATACATAGATATATATGTTGAAATAATAGGTACAATGATACTGGGGAAGCATATACGTCAAGATGCTGAGATTGTTCAAGTCTGATCTCTCTCTCATAGAGAGAGAGACTATATAAGTGAGAGAGAAACTTCCCCTGATCTATACTCTCCATGGAAGGATCTACGCTGACTGATTCATGCCTAATTTACCTGGTATAAACCGTCTATTCATGCATGGATCTCAACAAAATATATCTATCGAAGCTGACCGCTAACAAAAAGTCTTTTCTACGAGCTAGTTGCTAGTGAACCCCTATATAGCGAACTCCTAGGCCTGCAAGTGTTGTCCACGCGGGTGAAGAGCTGACACTGGTATCATAACACGTATTGTCACTGCATATGTCAGCGTTCTAAGGAAACCCGTTCACTTCATGTTCATTCCATTTACTACAGTCAGAAAAAGACGTTTTTGTAACTCCCGTATTTTCGTCCATCGTAACTTCAAAATGTGCAGGTACAAAGGATTTTTTCTCGAAGGAATTCGGCCCTGGGGAGGCTATCTCAGAAAATATCTGGGTCAGATGAGGGGATAATTGAGGACTTGCATGCGTATTATTTAGGGCTTTACCTATGCGAAGAGGTACTTCAGCCTAAAATTGCCTAACGTCATGTGAGAATTTCGTGGCCAAACTGATAATGCTTAATATACGTAGAAAGTTCAATTTCAAAACAATATTTACCATAAATCTAGTTATTGGCGTAAGTCAGGTCCGCCAGATATCCGTAGCTATGGATGACTCACTAAAGCTATTTACGTGTAGAGCAATCTCGAAACCTTAAAGTACATTGAACATTCACTACATAACCTAGATCGCTTTATGGATTGATGTATGGCTTCAGTAGACTCCAACCGTCATTTTTTCCAACCTTGATAGATCCCAAATCAAAATTATTCAATGCTCGGAGCGTAACTGACCGGTAGTTAAGGACAATGGCGCGTATGGATTTACCTTCCGTTGACAACGCTGCCACTTCCTTGTCCGTCAGCGGATTGACTTCGTTCAGGATTTGCACTCCACACTCTGTACAGAATGCTTTGCGTAGGTTATGCGTTCCAAAGGTGTAGTATGACAGACTTTCCCTGCCTTGGACTGAGACTTGGTCTGTAGTTGTATAGACCCACACGTATCCACCCTGAGATGGTGAGTTAGCCTCCTTTTCGACGAATAGCAATTTCAACTTAACTATAACGCTTTTTGCTTACCCGCTGGCAAATACTGCAATTGCATTCTAATATTTTGTCGGTGTAGGAGCTGTCTAGCGGTTTGACTTTAATGGCGATAGTAACAGCACCGCAATGGCAGCTCCCTTTGTATAGCTTCCCACCTTCTACGGCAGCAGAAGGCTCCGGCCCTGTAAAAACAGGGGGGATATAGGTATAACCAGTGTGAGCATTTTGGCCGTCAAATCTGAGCTAGCGTGAGAGGTTTTCGCGTGATAAAACTCAGTAAGACTTACTTGTCGACTTTAAGTTTCCAACAGTCCAAGCCTTGGATAACTCGAGCCTATAGACGATGCTGAGGATCTCATGCATATTATAATATGAAATTGGTCATACTTACATTAATAATAACATTATGTCCCGCGCGAGCCATCAGAGGCGTTGCACATATTCGGCAGAACTGCATCTTAGTCAGTCACTAAAGCCGGCTTGTAATGCGATAACTGGAGCGAATATTTTCATTCCTGGTAGATAGCAATTGAACCACATACCATATGGACCATCCTTCCGTGACCGAAGGTGTATTCTTTAAGTGATCCATCGCCTTTAATGATAGTCATAGGCTCTGAAGGATTGAACCAAAGGTAGCCTTTTTTGAAACAGATGCTGCAATTGCACTCTGTCACAGAATTCAGTTCCGCTGCCTTGACGTTAAATATGAATTCTCCACAGTGGCAGTTTCCCCTGTAGATCTTCACGGCTGCCTTTTCCGTAGCCATCGCGACGATAGGTTCACCAAGTTGTTAATTCTTGGATATTTGGTAAATGTAGGAAACCTCGTTTCCCTATGAACAGAGTCGAGGGTGATTCATAAGAAAATAACGGATTATAATACATCAAGGGAAAGAAAGATGGAGTCTTGCATATCTCCTTATAAGGCCTGGGTACGATCACGTAAGATGGCCAGGCTGCATAGTGACGTGGATACACGAGAGTTTGACTAGGTGTATAGCTACAACCTAATCAGGCATTGTGTAATATCACGACGTAATACCCCCATCTCTCATCAGATTCCGTGAGGCATTCGACATGATAAAAACGAATTATTTGTTACCGTGGGCCGTTATATCACTACTTAGTAGAAGTGTGGGTCTCGGAGTCTGTCGCTGCTCTAATCTCGGTCAAGTGGGGAAAGCACGCAAGATCGACGAGTTGGGAACGATCATATCGCTCCTCGGGCGCTCGCACATCCACACCCCACTGCGTACGATTTGACCATGACGGTCATGGTAGCTGGCACGGAGCGGACAGAGATGCAGTGGGAGGAGTTGCTGTGACTAGAGGGATTCAAGTGGTTAAGGTCTGGCGGTGTCCACTGGCAGTGCACATCGTCGGATATAGTAGCCTAGGGTTTCTGCGTTAGGTTTCTGTCCGCCGTAGTTACGGCAACAACTACATAGCATGACTTTAAGCACTACGCTATAAATGCCATTCGTATTGCCGTATACATCGGCCTTGTTATAGATATAGAAGACGCCTCTTCTGATTGGGCGGACCGTGTAACTACTATCTCTATCCGCTACTAGTACTATTTAGACCGAGCGGTTCTCGAGAGCACCCTAGATCTGCTTCCTAGAGTATGTCGCAATATACTAAAGCGCACTTAAGTACACTGTTAATTAATACTACCTAGGCATATATCTTATGTATCACCGACGACCGCACACTTACTATCACTCTTCCACGTCGAGATCTAGAGTACTTGACGGATCGTCTAGGAGATAATTGTACCCCTACGACCACAATCGGCCTCAATGGCTCTTACCACCACCTTAAGCGTACATATGCTGCCTAGCAATAGAAAGAAATGTGCGACTAAACTCCCGGCCTACAATTGCCCACGGCCACTGGCCTGCGTCTGCCACTCCGGTCGACCTTAGACCTAGAACTCATCGTGACGGGGTCGCAACACGACGTCGCTATAGACCTCATTCTTTACAAGCGTACACACTAGTATCAAACTTAAGGCGAACAGTTATTGATAATCATCTAAATAGCCCTCGCTACACTACTATCGGTTCCGAATCTTATATCCCACGGTCCCTCACCATCGCCAAGTCAGCCCCGGGCCTACTTAAAGAAATCGCCGTGGTTAGGAGGTTAGGATGGCCTGTCGGTTCCCGTAAACAGAATCACTAGAGAAAAATTCTGGAACCTAATCAGTACCGGGAAAGCAGCCCTTAAAACTCTGTCTCCCAGCCGCTTTGATCCGGCAGATCTAAAGAGGGAGCCCAAGCTGCCTGCCTTTTGGGGAAACTCCTTGTCTAATGCTGATGCCTTTAACGATCGCTTCTTTGAAATCTCCGGTCGAGAGGCAAAGTCAATGGACCCAGAGCAAAGACTAACTTAGCATTGCAGGTCGCTTACAAAGCAGTGGAATCGGCAGGGTACTATGGCATTCCCTCGAAGAGCACACAGGAGACGAACGTAGGCTGCTATCTTGGGGTTGGGTCGGCCGATTACGAGAGTAACGTGGGTTCCGCTGATGTAAATGCTTTTCCGCCATTGGAACCCTAAGGGCTTTTAAAGTGGGCGCATCAGCGATTTCTTCGGATAGAGCGGTCCTTCGATTACGTTGGACACAGCTTGTTCGTCGCACCCTGTGGGTTTGGTGAACAACTATGGCGCAGCCGGTAGCAACGCCTCCATTGCCCTGAGGGCATATACAACCCCTGGCACACAGCGACAAGACGTGGATGCTTTTCCGACCGCCTATCCCATTGTCTTGCTCAATATATTGGCGGTGTTTCTCTTATCCATTCTTGTCATTCTTCTTCTTCTTCTTCTTGGGATCTCTGGTCTTGCGGCCTCCTCTTTTTTCCGTGAGACAAACGGACGACATAGGCGGAACCATTGTTATTCTCGGCTTGGAGTCTTCGGCCTAAATTGGGTTATACGGAAGTTTGGATATGATTGTGACTAAGACAAAGGTTAAATAACAGTAATCTATTAGTCTGCACTAGCAGCTTAATATATGCTATGGCCTTGACTTTAGATGAAAATGGTTTTTCTTAGGGCCCTAAATAGGAAACCGCAGTGGTTTATGGTTGTGGAACCATCAGGGCAGGATAGAGAGGCGTCGAGTTTCCCTCCATCATGGGCTTGGGGGAACATACCCACCCTATCTGGTACAGCACTTGAAATAGCGAATTGCTGCCTAGCTACATGTCGAACTTTTCCTTGTGTTTCGACTATTCACGTCAAGATCCTGTTATAGTCGGGATCTATATCTCGTACTCGGTCACCAAGTGATGGCGGGTGGTGTAGATACGAAGAAGGCATTGCCTGGAGCGTTTTAAAACTTCTACCTCGTGTTTCTTCTTATAGCTGAATCATATCTCGTGGAAGCATCGTCCAGAAAAGTACCAGATCTTCCAAAGTATCCCACGCAACATGCTCCTTGGGACCTTCTTTGCCAGAGGAGGTGGCCTCCTTTTTTGAATTGCTAAAATCAAGTGCTTTCTGTTCTGGGGATGGTGTGTCAGCCTCCATCGATTCATCCTCATTTCTATCGTCTTTTTCAACGTCGCCGTCAGCTGAAAATTTGCCCCCGGGAGTATCTCCGTAATGATTATCTTCATCCCAAAGTCCTCCTCGGGTGTCTTGCTTCTGCTGGTTGTCTAAGAAGTGTCTGTTACTTTTTGATCAAAAAACCCAAGCTAGCCGCACCACTTACTTTGGATATCATGCTTAGTCTCCAGCATTGAATTGCTAGACACGCGTGGGGGCAAATAATTAAGAGGCCTCTTTGTTTCTTTTGTCCAGGGGCCCTTTGGTTGCTTCAGCGGCTCCGGGCTCATCTTTACTTTCTCGGCCTCGGTGGATGAGTTGTTCGATTTGCGAGGACGAACGGACAGCGAATTTCTCCTGAAGTCTGGACTGGGTGGAGCCTGGGGATGCTCGTCCATCACATTCATGCTGAGAGGCCGATCAAGCGAGCTCCTCGTTGTAGAATGGCGCGGCTTGACAGGGTAGTCTCTGTCAAACTGCTCCCGCGGTGTAGTGTAGGAGTAGGCGTTGTAGGAGTCAACATCATCGCCCTTCTTCAATACCTCATAGGCAGGGTCTCGACGACGCCCACTCGAAGCATACGGCTGATATTGCTGAGGAGAGTGATGGTGGAACCTATTGCGTTGGTCCAAACGACTGGTATCACTGGCATAGTCCGTGCTATACATTCGGCGGTGCCTACGATGAGACGAATGTGAAGAATGTGGGACCAGATATTGATTAGAAGTGGAATGAAAGGGACTCGGAGAGGGAGTTCCATCCGAGCTGATCACAGGGTGAAGATCAGACGCAGACAAGGGGATACAAGTCTCATGACGGTCTGCTGCGGATGCTGAATTTCTTCCACGTTCCCTGCTGGGCTGGTTGATGAACATTTCTCCAGTAGGGTCTCCATGCTCAAGGTTAGAGTATTCGCGGTATTCGTAGTGATTCCTGGACGTTTTATGAGTGGTCTCAAGATTCAAGTTACTGGTGGAGACCCGGCGGATAACAGGCAAGGAGCTGCGCTCAAGCGAATGGCACCTTTCCAAGGAAAAGGTAGACCGTCTTGTTGACGGCTCAATCTTTTGAGGGGGCATGTTGGAGTTCGGCTTTGATGTGAAAGAGCTGTCCATATCTGGGTTGCAAATATTGAAGAAGGGACTGTCAAAAGCTTGTACCGCTGCCTCTCCATGGGATTGTTGAAATATGGCAAGTTCAACTTTGTGAACATTCACCACCCCATCTCTAATCCTCAAATGTCTATCTTGTTGAAGACTTGTTCGACATTCGTCGATTTCATTGAGCAGACTTTTGACAAGATCATAATACTTATCAATTTCATTTCCGGTTGAAGGTTGCTGCCATACTGCCATGCCAGGTTGCGCGCCCAGTGTTGAAGACGACAATGTACCCTCTCTATCGCAATCTGACCGGGTATTGGCCACATTGATGAGTTCTTTCAATCTAGCCTCAGTTTCGGCTTTCTCACGGAGAAGCGTTTCAATCAACTGGCGTTGACATTGGAGCGAAGCATGATCGGATGTCCTACCAAGTGGCACTTAACAATGTGGATCTCCCGGGATACTCGAGATGGACATACCGGTTGATCTCTCTTGCATACATAATCACATTCAGCATCAGCAACATGGTCGATTTTAACTTGTCGAGGTGGGAATTCAACACTTCAAGATCGGGCCCAAGTATCACAATGGTAAGCCTTCGTGTGCGACGTTCCCATTTGCTTTTACCAGAACCCGGATCTTTCTTCTGAATTGCTTCGTCTATTTGCTGAAAGATTCTCTCGCATTCCTCCAAGACTTCCTGGGCTGTCAGAAACGCCTGCTGAGAGCAAAGTTTTGTCTGGCTGTCCTGTTCCAAGACCTTTCCTAACTGATGTAAGATACTGCAAGTGAGTGAGACGTCACTTGCAAGACGCTGTGCCGACTGATCGGCATCTTTGATCTGGCGGTAAAAAGAACAAAGCTTGACCGAGAGTTTGATTCCAATCTCTGCGAGTTGGAAAGTGCTGGCAACGACCCCGACAACTTCAAGCCCAGACATTGTGTTTCAGGACTATGAAATTGACAGATATGGTGACTCATGGTTGAAGGATGACGAAGGGAGGAAGCTGGTGTACGAGGGGACGAAGATGCCGAGCACCAGCCGCGGGGCAGTGCACGGCTGGTAGAGCCTCAACAGGTCCTCCCTAAATAACCTTAGTGGGATTGGCAATCTTACGGCTTCAGCAATTTTCCGAAGGTTCCCCTCTTGGAACTGTTACAACATCGTGCATTAGTACACTTGAAATGGCTAATATAATTCCCCCCTGAACAGTTTGTTAGTGTGCTTGTGTCTGTCTGCATTTCATTTACCCTTGACCTCACTGTGTTGATCATAAACCACCAACCACTAGGCTGAGAGCGAGTTAGTACTTTGTCGAATCTACTAAGCTGCTGTTGGTCATCTTTTAAACAAGCTCTGGGGCTCTTAAGGTTGGGGTAGGCAACGCAGTAATAATCACGTGTTAATAACTGGTTTCATGCTGCTTGGGGCACGTCACCCAAGGCAATATAAAAGTCAGTCTTACCGACATTTTGGATAACCTTGCCTTAACTTGTTGCTATGGCTTAAGCGCCGAGAGATCGGAGGACTTGAAGCGGACACAGTCCAATATTGTTGTACTTGAATTGAGATAGTCAATGCGTTTGTCGCGAGTCGCCGTTCGTTCTATATACCCGTTGAATGTTTGGAACTCGTAGTCTGCTCCGTAGGGATCTAGTATTCGGAAATCACTCCGTTGACCCAGTCGAAAGTCATTCCATGAGGAGCTGTGTGTAGTAGCCAAGAGACTGGCTATTTTAGACGGGGTCTTATGGCCTAATGATATTCTACTCTCGCTCAGCCGAGGGTATTAGTGCAGTGGTCGCGCGACATGGGTGATTCTCACCCTTGGTCGCGCACAACCTAACACCGTAGATAGGGATAGTAAGTTCTATATGATTACCTTATCATAACTTGATAAGTACATACGACCATAGGGTGTGGAGAACAGGGCTTCCCGTCCGCTCAGCCGTACTTAAGCCACACGCCGGTAAGTTAGTAGTTAGGTGGGTGACCACTAGCGAATCCTTACTGTTGTATGTTTTTGGTTTTTTTTCTCTTCCTCTTGTTAATGAGGGATGGCATTGGAGAGAGACAATTTGTTCCTTGTTAATTAAGCACATGGACCAATGTGGTTGTGGTGCCCGTAGCCAGTATGTCGTTTCGGCGAGAGGTCAGGATAAATTAATGACAGATAAACTCGCACACTGTTACGGTAGAGTAAATGTATGGGCCGACTTGGATTTGATAGGTCATATTTTCCAATTAGAGACCAGCTCAGACATCAAGAAAGGAATTCTAGGCCGAACCGAAGATCAGACACCGCAATTTGGCTGAAAAATAACATTGTACCCGAGACCGAGGTAAAGTTAACGTTATGTACATTGATCTTCGTCAACCCTACCTGACAATTCAATTGGCGTACATCTAGATTGTGTCGCACAACAATTCCTCTACATTCTACTCCGTACTCCCCACAGATAACACAGATCCATTAACATTGAGAAAATATTGGCGGAAAAAAGATTCTCACGGGTGTACGTAGCCCTGCCCGCTAGTTCGTAAGTTGGGGCCAACCACGCAAGCTGGCCCCGTCATCCCCATCCAAGCTTTTCTGGTCAGTACAGCAATAAAATATAACATCGCTACTGATCAGAATTTACTTTGCTCCACCACGGTTCCTGGCATCGGAGCCAATCGCAATGGCAATTTCCCAATGGGTTATCTGCCATCTGCGTCGTATGTGGAGGTGATGATCCAAGGTCGGGGGGCAACAGATCGGGTTTGACACGCAACATCTAAGAATAAAACGAACAACGAATCATGTTTATATATCTATTGTCCCTTGTTGCCTATAACCCTCGGAGGATCGCTCTTTTTTTGTTCTTTCTTGTTCACCCCGTATACTTCGTCTTTCGTTCATAGTATCAACTCCACTATGGTTTTCAAGTCTTACTACCAGTGGGCTGCTATCGCCCTGGCTGCGACTGCTCAGCTCAGTGCTGCCCAGACTACTACCAGCTGCAATCCTCTCAATAGTATGCATTAGATCCAAGTCGTTACTAGTACAACGCTGACAATTGCCTCGCAGAGACTTGCTCTGCGGATACCGGTCTTAATAAGTACCGTCTCAACACCGACTTTACTTCCGGCTCCCTGGGCCGCTGGAACACCACTGCCGGCACCGTGACAAGCACCGACCTAGGAGCCAAGTTCACCGTCTCGGAACAGGGTGACGCCCCCACAATCGAGAGTGAATTCTACATCTTCTTCGGCCATGTCGACGTCAAGATGAGAGCCGCCAATGGTACTGGTATCATCAGCACCTGGATCCTCGAATCCGACGACCTCGACGAGATCGACTGGGTAAGTCCCTCACTCCTATATCACACCACTACCAAAAGCAACACCCACTAACCCATCTCACAGGAACAAATCAGCACCTATAGCACCGAAATCCAAACCGACTACTTCGGCAAAGGAAACACAACCTCCTACGACCGCGGCACAACTGTAACCGTCACCACCCCAGAAGAAACCTTCCACACCTATTCAATTGACTGGACAAGCGAGCGTATTCAATGGCTGCTCGACGGCGACGTAGTCCGTACCCTGGAATACGCTGACGCCGTAAACGGCAAGAACTTCCCCCAGACACCCATGCGCATCCGCATCGGCATCTGGGCCGGCGGAGACCCAGACAACTCCGAAGGCACAATTGAATGGGCCGGCGGCGAGACCGATTACACCGAGGGACCCTTCTCGATGTACGTTGAGTCGGTCGATATCATCAACTACAACCCCGCCCAGGCGTACAAGTACACCGATAAGACCGGTGCTTATACAAGCATCAAGGCTATTAATGGGACTAATATTTCCTCTAATTTGGCCACGAGCTCAAGCACTGGTTCGGTGTCTGTTACGGCTTCTTCTACTGCTGTGGGGTCTTCTTCTACTGCTGCTTCCTCATCGTCGTCGGCTGCTTCTGCTGCTTCTTCTGTTAGTGTTGTGTCTGGTGCGTCAGCTTCGTACTACACTTCTGTCTTTGTTATTGCTGCTGTCTCTCTTGTTGCTGGACTTGTGCAGTATTAGGGGGACTGGTTTTGTTATGGATGTATGTTTGTGAGTGGGATGTGTGTATAGAGCTATGATTACAATTTTTTTTCTTTTAATGACATTCCTTCCTGAATTATGTGCTTGATTTAGATTTGCTGTCCAACGCTTGTTCTATTGCCAACTTCATCTTTAGACTTGTTTCTTCAAGTAATGATTGGGCCCACTGTCGGCTATATATTTTGGCGCAATTCCAGCCATGTGCGATCCTAGTGCAATGAACATGCCCACCAGCTTCATAAAAGTCAAAAATATACTCCTAAATAGTCCATAGGTTATGAATTACTTGAATTGAATAGCAACAAATCGAAAATTTTGTTTTAGAATGTTAGAAGACCAAAGAAAATCCCAAATGTAAAACGTGGCGACCCACCAAAAACGGCGCTAGCAAATTCTGCTCAGGTAGCACAACTGGCTTAATCCACACATCAACTAGCATCATTGGTCTAGTGGTAGAATTCGTCGTTGCCATCGACGAGGCCCGTGTTCGATTCACGGATGATGCACATCAAATTCTTTTTTTGTTTTCGTTTCCTCGACCTCAATTGGCGCCTTTGATGTCTCCTGTCGGTGGCATACAGGAGATTAGTCCCACGCTACCGGGGACCGTCTCATTTTTAGTGTACAAGATGCTCATATTTAGTCCATCTACTTGCTAGATTGGTTTCCTGAAGCTGACAGCATTTGGCTAAGTAGAGAGTTTCCATGCAGCTAACTAACTATAATACAACCCGAACCCTGGGAGTGTTCAACCTTTCAGCCAAGGATCCTCTAAGAGCTCTTTAGCTGTTGCCCTCTCATCTGGCATCCAAGTCAAAGTTCTTCGTTGGAACTTGACAAAGCCAAGAGGTAGCCCCATCTGACCCTCCAAGGATTCAATCGTCACATTTTCACGTATGAGTACAATGCCCTTCCACTTGCCTGGAGAGACAACTATCAGCATTTCGTCGCATAACACAGAAATTACAAAGACTGAAAAAAAGAACATACCAGTTTCGTCCCAGAAACTAGCAGCGATTTCAGGGTTCAGCGCAAGGAACTCAGCAGGCGGTGGATCCAGAACAGAAATGATTTCAGCGAGATGAGTTGCCTCATAGAGATCGCCGGCGTTCTCGTTAGCATAGAACATTCCGTCGAACCCGAGGAGATCAATTGCCTACATATCTCAATCAGCAATCTTGCTCTAAAACAAAATACCCAAGAGTAAGAAGCGGAAAGGCGTATGCCGTCATTCTAGCGCTGAAACGTAGAGTTGTTTGTGGTCTTGGATACGAAGACGTGAAAGTTTCCAGTCTCCCTAGACGAATGCGAGTCATGAGACTCTGTCTTGCTATTGATGCCATTTAGTGCAACCTGTGTAGGAGAGAGCTTGCGTATCATGTGGCCAGGGCGGGATCGTCGTTGCGGCTTATCCCTGTCATTCCTAATTTTAGTGTTGGTCACGGACACACTATACAAACGTGAAGGGTTCCCTGCTAAAGTATCAATAGTTATTATATGATGCTACGCTACTTTTTAGTTGTAGAATTGATAGAGCCCGATGAGAAGAATGAATGTTTTGCTCATTAAACATAGTTCGATGCCTGGTATACACAACAGTAGATCAGTCAAGATGAATGAAAGTGTACAACAAGAATTTATGTGCAAAGAAGAAGAAAAAGAACATGTTCAAGGGGTATCAGGATGATCACCAACGACCATCTGTATCGGCATAGAAAAAGGGTGTTGAGCATCAAAGTGGTCCAGTTCGCTTCCGTCGCCACTGTACCCAATGCCATCGCGATTATCGTCTGTAATGCGACCGTATTCAAGTAGAAGAAGATACAGATAAATGTCAAGATCTTCATTGCGCAATGCCTGCTGCGCCCATTCCCGACTCTGAGCGGCAATCACCTCAGCCTCGAAGTCGTGGCTTTGCACGTATGGCTCTCTGGACGCGGGAAATGCGCTGGACGCGGGCAATGCGCTGGACGAGGAGTTGCCCAGACCAATAAAATAGGTCATCAATGCGTATAGGTCATCGTAGCGATTGTCCATCGGAACGAAATGGCGCCAGGCAAAGAGTCGCGAGTCGTGCCATTCACGGAATATGGTGGCTTTGATGCCTAGGGATTTGCTGAGGTGGAAGGCACGCCAGCGGCCAGAGAAGCTGTGTCCGTCGATATCGACTAGGTACTTTGCTTTGAATTGCTGGCTGAAGTCTTTGGGTTCCTTGTATGTCCAGACGTCGTCGTAGAATGAACAGTTGGGAATGCAGCCCCAAGCTTCAGTGAAGCCGACATCGAAGTGGTCCAATGAAAAGTTACTGGGGTTAAAATCTGAGAAGTTTTGATACTGCTTCACGCTGTTCTCAGTGAGGATTGGGACTGTTCGTGATTCCATCTCGGTGCTGTTGGCGATCTGGACGAAGCGTTGACGATGCAACTGATGCCAATTATCAACGAGTTGGACACCCCCAGAGGTGACGCCGCGCCAGAGGAGAGTGTCGGACTTGTACTCCCATTCGTAATCATGTCGTGAATTGTAGACATACCGCTTGTCCTTCATGAAGTACATGTTTGCGGGGAACAAGATGTCATTGTTCACGCTGACCTTGCACTCGCTGAAGACCGGGAGCAACTTCCTTGAAATAACATTGCTGGAAGCTGAGAACAAAAATCCATGCTTGTCTCCGAGAACAGGACCGACCGTGCACAGATCCGAGGAAGCGGTGAAATTAGTGATGAAGCCAGCCGACGGCGACTTGTATAGCTTATTAGCATCCTCGGTCGTGATGTTGGCACGAGCAGGGGAATCAGGCGGACAGGATTCACTGGCGAAGTTCATGTATGGCTGTCCTGCGATTGAAAACCATTCTGGATCCACACCCTCGACGGTGGAATCTTTTTCATACAGATGATCCATACCCGAAGTGAATTGATCTTGAGCATCGATCGGCAGACTTCTGGTTAGCGCCTCGATGCGGAGATATTCCTGCGTGTCGTTGTAGGATACCATGACTCGAGGCTGGTCCATCAGATTGAGCGCAATATCCATATCTGGGAGATACTTGGCGATGCGTTCGATCGAATCCCGCAGCGTCTCCGGCCGCCAATCTTCAATGTCGATAGAAACTTCATGGTTGCGGATACGTACCCCAGCAATTCCATCGCTGTTTTGGAGCTTGGCTGCCATTTTGCGAATCTCGGCTGGAGGCAACGCCCAGAAGGGTCGCAAGTCGCCAGTGATCTGCTGGAAGTCGTCCACATTGTGCGCGTTCTTCTTGCGCGCAAACATGTACCACTCTTTAAAGCCTGGTGGTGGGTGTCGCCCATATGTCTCACGGTATTTGGTCACTGTCCGGCGGAAATTCGTAGAGCGACTGTTATCGTATGCCAGCCATTGGCGGTTGGCCTCCCGCATGAGACTGACGATGGGGTGTCCATCGTGGGCATACTCCCCCACAGGCTTTGGCTTCGCAAACATGGTGAACCCGCCCAAGCGGGTGTTGTCCACTGTCTTAGTGAGGAAGAACAGGTTGATCAAACATATTGATGTCGCCGCGCAGGCCACCAGCAGGTAATAGGTTCTGCGATTGCGGGTGAAACACAGCATCCTGGAAGAAATCCCCCGGATTTTGGCTCCGGGGTGCAGACCTGAAAGCGCAAGGCAGAGTAGAGACTACGGAGACATGAGGAAGACAGTGGGGTCAGAAAAAAAAGAAGCCATTGCCCCCTTAATGTAGACCAAGCCCGCGCCAAGGGCCTAGCCTTTTACAGCAGAGGCTAAATCGCCATTCTTACATGTATTGTTTCTAGACAACGTAAATTGCTAGGTGTATCTGAGAACTGCGAATCTTTATATTTCTATAACCATGTATATCGAAAGAATTAAAGGTGATCGGGCCGAGAATATATGAACAACAGGGGTAGATAGGGCGACAAGGACGATTCATTCGACCTCGTGTTGAGTGGACCACGCTAGTCTCAACGTCTGAAAAGATGCTTCTTTTCTCGATTTGCGAAGATAAAGAAATATGCCTATTCTGTATATGACATCCTAATAAATAGTAAATAAACAGAAGACAGTAAATATAAGAGAGAGAAAGAACTAAGTGAAGGCAGCTGAAGTGATCGGCGAACATTAACAAATTTAAACTTTTCTCCATAGGCCAAATCACGGGACCCAGGGTCACGGGATATTGCTGACTCGTGTATTATGTAATTAAAGCCTCAGGCCAACAATGGACCTTGGACAGCTCAGAGCAAGAGCTGTCCAACATATCAACTTTCGCATTTCGCAAATGCCGTGGTCTCTTTCAATGGGCGATACTCTCTTGGCTCGATAGCCATGGCAACCAAACGTAATCGCGCCACGCTCGAGGCCGAACTTCAATCACAGCAATCACCATATGCCTTCTATGGAACTCCGCTACCACCACTCGATGAGAGCGTCCGCGATGATGGCTCCTTCGTACCAATATGGAAACAGGAGGTGACCGATGAACGGGGGAGGAAGCGCCTGCACGGTGCATTCACAGGTGGATTCAGCGCGGGGTGAGCTTCTCCAATACCCATGAGCTCGGCGCAATCGCTGACACTATCTAGGTATTTCAACTCCGTCGGATCGAAAGAAGGATGGACTCCCGCGACCTTCGTATCGTCTCGGCAGAATCGCGCCGAGAAGGCGCAGCAGCAACGACCTGAGGATTATATGGACGAGGACGATCTGCGGGAACAGGAAGACTCTAGGAAACTCCAGACTGCGGATGACTTTGCCGGATTCGGATCGACTGAGCATGACGCCACACGGAGAGCAGGGTTCATGGATATTTTGAAAACTGGGGGCGAGACCAAGGGAGTGAAGCTTCTGAAAAAGATGGGATGGCGCGAGGGCCAAGGAATCGGTCCTAAAGTTCGTCGCAAGGCCAGGTTAGAGGAGACTGGTGCATCGGGCGGAGATGCCGAGCAGACATATCTCTTCGCGCCTGAAAACCCGGCATTGGTTGCCTTTGTGCGCAAGACCGACCGGAAAGGTCTTGGGTTCGAAGGTGAATCGCGTCTATCCGATTCGCATACGCCCAAACAAACCAATGATGACGATGATTCGGACTCCTTCTTTGGTGGGCGATTAGCCATTCAAGGGAAATCCCAGCCCTCCAAGCCAAAGAACTCACGGCGGGGTGGGTTCGGGGTTGGAGTCCTTAATGACACCGGATCAGACGACGAGGACCCTTATTCCTTGGGCCCGCAGATCTCATATAACAAGACTATCGGAGGAGACAAAAAGAAGAAGAAGAAGGGCAAATCAGAGGATGGAAAACCAACAATCGCATCATCCAACCCTCTCCTCAATTCAAAGCCGGTGTTTATTTCGAAGAAATTGGCAGCTTCACGGGGAACCGGAGGATTCAGGAAATGTCGGGATGGGCGTCTACCGCTGGATGGATTCGTTCTTGCTGAGGGCATGTCGGGCTTGTCGATTTCCAGCGAGAAGCGCTACGATCCCCCAGTAATACCAGAGGGCTGGACATCAGCCAAGGAGCCCTCATCTACGAAACCGGACGACTCGAGCTACATGTCAACAGCTGATGCCGCCAAAGCCTCATCACTCAACCCGACATCTAGAGCAGCCCTTCTGGGTGAGGCTCAACTGCCCGGGAAATCCATCTTTGATTGGATGACACCTGAGGCGCGAGATCGAATCGCCAAACTTACTGGCAACCAAAACTTACCTCCAGCTTTGGGAGAAAAGGCACCCAAGGGATACGAGGTTCCCGAATCACAGAGGCGCAAGGACCTCTGGGACCTCGTTCCGAAGCTCGACAAGCAGATTGCCGTTCAAGCTTTAAATCGGGCCGTGAGTGGGTGGATGCCCTATTCAGAAGACGAGAAGAAGCGCGCCCGCTACCGGGTCTTCCTTGAAGTTAGTGCAGGGCTCCGTGATACCCTCCCAGAACGGGTCGAAGGGTCCAACACCGATGAATGGGTCAATGAGATGCAAGAGTTCGGCCGAGCTGCAGAAGTCTTCAAACCTATGTCTGGAGTCATGGCCTCCCGCTTCACCTCAGCATCCTCCGCGCCCAAGGTCGCCTCCGATGCACCCGACTCAACCGATTCTGTCCTTAGTCGACCCGCCGAGAAGCCTGATAATCCAGCAGTGGCAGCTGCCAAGATTGGCATGTTCGGCCAAATGACTCGAAGCACCATATCATTTTATCCATCACGTCTACTGTGCAAGCGTTTCAACGTGAAACTTCCGGCACATGTACAGCTTGATCCCGGTGAACGACCCGGCGCATCCGAGTATCAACCAGGCACACGGTTCCAGTCCGCCGGATACCAAGCTGACACTGGACCTAGCACTAAACCCAAGGAGTTGATTTCGCAAGATGTCATGAACCAGCTCCTCATGGAGTCGCTAGGTCATATTCCTGGTGCCACTGGCCAATCTATTGCTGAGCCGCCACGTCCGGCAGTTGAACCAGAGCGCAACGATGCCCTGGAGGCAGAGAGGCCTGGTGATGCAGTTTTTAAGGCTATTTTTGGAAGTGACGATGAAGATGAATAAATAGAACATAACTTATCAAAACATATTAGATAAGTTATATATGTAAATATTTATAGACCGTTGTGGTCAAAGCTTACAAACTAAGCATTGTCGATCATTTGAGGCCCACGGTGACACAGTATAGAGTAGACGAGATGCGCGATTAACCTGTGCTTGGAATGTACCCTTCCATACTTCCAAGGTCCCTCTTTGTCTTCCTAAATCGCCTAAATCTTCTAATTTCCGTTGTTTCTCTCGTATTCTCCTTAAATCGCTGACTCTCCCTACTCCACCTGGTTCCCCTCTTGAAGTCATCCTTGCGGTCTGTGCTCTGCTCTAATTTAGTTCCGTCATTCTCCCCTCTCGACACTCCCCCCAGCTTATGGAGGCTCTTGACATGCAAGATGGTAAGAGTGTCCCTGTTTTCAACATCCTCAACCCCCTGCAATCTATCTAAGCACAAATCCTATTGCTTGGCACCTATCGAACGTCACGCGACCAGCGCCCTTCACAACCAGACCGATCCCCAGCTCTACCCCAGCTCCAAGACCACCAAATCAGAACCACAAAGACAAAACTAACAAAAAACCTCTCAAAACAGGGCTGCTGCTCCTCCGTGCCGTCGCCAGATGACGACCAACAAGACTCGCCGTATACCTACAACCACCAACACACCCAAAACCACACGAGCTCAACAAACCGCAATGGCACAACCCCCGCAACCCCAACAGCAAGAAGAACAAACCGACGAAGCAGACGCGCCCCAAACCTCCCCCTAAATGAGCACTACAACGAACCGGTGCGCAACCATGTCTGGCACAGCAAACGACGAACCTGGACACGCGCCCAGCTAGACCGCGAACGCACCGAGTTCTTCGAAACGCGCGTAACAGGCCGCCCGGAGGTCTGGGCCGCAGTCGCGAGCGCTATATCGCTCATGCGCGCGGGCGATCTGGCTACCGCGCAGAGTATCGTCGATGCAGCGGGCGTTACGGTCCCCACCGGTGATCTGTGTGAGGGGTGCTATGATCAGCAGGGGGTGCTTTATCGGCTTCCGCAGTGTATTGTTAGTGATCCCGAGAATATGGTCGTGACGGCAGATACGGATGCGACTGTTTCAGAAAGGGGGGATGGCCATGATGAGGATGAGGATGAGGATGAAGATGAGGATGATGACCTGGATGATGACGGGCTTCGGGATGGGAAGCTTGCTACGGATGATGCTTCTGGGGATGAGTTGATTGAGCGGGATATTGAGCGCCGGAGGGATGAGAAAGGGAAGACGAGTGAGCGTGATTTGATCCGCGTGATTGCAAGATTGAGTGATCGTGATGGACCTGATTTGGTGCTTTCTGTGGGGAAGGGGCAGACTGTTGGCTTTTTAGCGAGGAAGGTGCACCAGGAGGCTGAGGTGAGTCTTGGGTGCTTGGGTGCGGTTTGGGATATGATGCTAATTGTGTTGTAGCTTGCGGACAATGCGCGCGTCCGGATTGCTTATCTTGGTCATTTGCTCAAGGAGCAGCAGCCTTTGCTTGATCAAGGTTGGAAGATTGGCCATGTTGTTAACGCTTTGGTCGTTTCACCTAACGGGTCCGGTGTTCGACGGTGATCCTAGGGCTGCTGAGGGCCGTTCTCTTGGATACAGGTCTGCTCTGGCCTGTTTCTTTTGTGTCTGTTTTCCTTCCACCTTTCTATTTGTCTTGGATCTCTAGCGTTCTGGCGTTTCTTCCTTTTTTCTGATCTTGTTGCACAATACCCCTTGTCTTTAACTTCAACTCCACCTGACATGTCAAGTTCCATTTACTTCAGCATCCACTCTTTCAGATTACCTATCCTTCTTTAATACGAAAGCAGACTGATCCATGACATGACGTCTGCGTTCTATGAAACGATTCGCAACGAGTCTTATATGTATCATGATATTGCAATGCTCTCGA